GCACAACATCTTGAGACAAAATAAAGTAGTAACAGAACTTTGAAATTTCAGTAAGTTATTTCTTAAAATTGAACTTCAGAAAGAATAATGAACTATACTGTAGAGATTTTTACGTTGCTGTAGAAATAGCTGACTTTATTACGGTACTAAATTTAGCAACAAATTGGAGCTAAATGTTCATTAAAGTAAAGCTACACCTTAAAACTTGAAATAGTTCAGTCTTATAATCTAGGCGTATTAGAACTCTTATGATATGAAGCTCTATTCCACCAAAAATATAGATTTAAAATGGTTCGATAATAAGTCGATAAAAGTAGAATTACATATGAAAATTTGTCAACTCACCTACATTCGCTTTACATAATACGTAAAAAATAATCAAATGGCATACTGTTACAAATGAGATTTTCTGACTACTGATTACTTTCATATCGATTCATCTTATCAAATTCCATAACATTTTAAGCTTATTAAAACAATATAAAGTTCTTTAATATTGTAAATAATTCATATCCTAAAATATACTTCAAAGGAAAAAATGTTTTACTGGTTGATATCGGTCTAACTTTCATGTTGTTCTCATTGGTTAAGAACTAGTTACTATAGAATTGACAAATATCTGATTGGTAGTTTTTTTATATTAAATATAACTTAATTGTGGATTTGTCCATAAACAAGCATAAATACAATTTAGCCATTGATTATAATGATTGGAATGTGAGATTTTGTTAATAAAATAGTATTATTTATTCTTTTTGATGAACATTGATAATACATCTGATAGTTGGAAAAGTCAATGTAGGATAAAATTGAGAAAATTTAATGAAATGAACAAAGTTTTCTTGATAGTAGTTCTTGTGCATAAAGGGGTATTTTATCTACAAATGAAGTTAAATAGTGTTTAACCCAAATCGGATGTGAAAATGTATTTTTATAGTTGTAAATTTACAAAGTGTACTTTCAAAGCACTAAGAATATCTTCACCACGAAAGTTAGAAATGAAATACTTGGCAGTGATTGATCTGCTTTAACCACTTATGGGATTCGTACGCTCAATTCTTAAATTATTATGTATTCAGACTACAATTAATAGTAATGGCGTACGTCTTCATATTATGTCCAGTCTAGAATGTTAAATGATCTACTTTCTTTCACTTACCTACGCCTCTATTTACGTATTAATTAGCGTAGATTTTGTTTCACTAATTGTATTTTCCTTACTGTTTTATTATTATTGTAGTATTAGAAAGTTTAACGGATTGAATTATCTCTATTTAGAGTTTTGAGGTTCATTTTCTACTAAACAACTAATCAGTCAATTATTAAACACAGAGTTCATAATAGACATATCAATGTATTTATACATAAATAAATTTTAGTAGGAATATTTGTTCAAATACAATAATTAATATACAGGTATTTACAGTACAATGCCGAGTAGATAAATTAAGAAAATACCTAATACGAGGAAATTCCAAAACGAAATACATAACAACGTAGAAACCCGGGCTAAAAGTGCGAAAAATGTTTTATCACAGTATAGTTTTGCGGGATAAACTATTGTACACGTCTTCTGTAGGTATTTAAAAAAAAAGAAGAGACTAAGAAGTAAGGAAAGAATGAAATTATGTAAATCATTCCGTTTATTAAATAAATAACAAAATCAAGTGAAGATAAACAACAGAAGTGATGAAAAGAATGAAGTAGATGGATAGAATTTTACCGGATTGACATCGCAGAATGAACAAATTGTAAATTAAGTATCACCACTTTTTATTGTCTTAATTTATTCACGAGTATATGGAATTTTGTAAATAAATGCAAAGGTGGTTACTGAAAATGGTATTCAGTAGTATAGAATAAATTGAAAAGTATTCAGCAGACTTTATGCCATTATTTTGTTGATTTTAGTGGAAATTCATCATTTTGTTTCATCCCTGTAAAACCATTAGTCAAAGTAGATTTAGGTATCACGATCAAAGGATCAAGTAGTCGTTTAACGTTGGTGAAATTTCTTTCCAACTCTTTATGATATTCTATCTGATCAGAACCGATTAATGATTCATTTAGACGGAGAGCTTCATATGATCTATAATTAGGAATGGACAAAGGTGTAATAAGGAAAAAGTGAGTCTGCAAATTTTGTAAAAGTGGTTGCTAGTTCTAGAAAAGCACAACTTGACAAAAAACTATCAGCACAGTTTTTCATAAAGTTATTTTCTAAGAACACATCAGTATTGGTTACAAATGTAAAACAGGGAATTAAGCTTAAAACAATTGACCTATATCTTCTTTCCTTAAATACTGTTGAGTTTTTTAGATGATAGTTTAGCTTAACAGTATAAGTATAGATTCAGTATAATGCTGCTTAATAGCAGTTAAGTCTAGTTTGACCAGCCTAACTTAAACACTGTGTTGTGTGCCTGTAAATGAAATTCTTCGACGTTAGCCAGATGTAAAATCATAAGGATACAATTTATTTCTCGATTTTTGTGCTTGTATGAAGCTTCTCATAAATATCAAGAGTGAACTAGTTCACTTAAAAACTATGAATAAGAATAAATGGAAGCTATCGAGTCAGTGTATGGAGTATCCTGTATAGAAAAACCACATATGTATGGATGAGTTTCTTGTTTTTATGTTCATAAATGTGTTGTACCATAAAGTATAGTGACCTGTTGAGAGAATATATTCACAAGAATTTCCAGTGTAATTTAGTTAGTTACTAATTAACTTTATTATTCCTGCAGTTAATTCACTGAAATAAATGTTTAGTCATACGGATTGATTAAAAAGGTGTTTAGACATATAAGATTTGTGTTTTTTGTCTGACGGAGCTATTTTAATCAAGTAATTTAACTGTTAATACTCTATTGACGATAGCAATATATACTAAGTTCTCATTTTTGCTTCAAATTACAAACACACCTACATATTGTTACAGTACTTTTTGTTAAAACATATACATTTATAAATGATGCAGTAAAAAATTACTTTATCAGAAATTGTTGAAAAGTTATCCTAAGACGATTTTGTATATCTTCATATGTAGTGGAATTCAATGTTGTAGACGACTTATTCTTATCGGGAATTAATGATTTTAATGGTTTATTTTTTTCATGCCCCAAGAAAGTTGTTGCCATTTCAACAGGTCCTTGGTTGACCACAGTTCCGATGCATCCCTGAAAGAAAAAAAGCGTAATTATCAATATTCCCGATGAAATTTTACGAATTAAAACAAAAACAAACAACATATTGTAGTAGGAGATTAGTGAAAACCTTAGAGATAATACAGATTGGCATTATAAGTTGTCACTTTTGTTAATGGGCGCTATGTCTTAGCATCGTAACTTCTCTTAAATATCCACTTCTAGAAATAGTTTGCCATATTTAATTATTATACAAAGCAATCATATTACTTTTGCAAAATATCCAAATGCATTATATATTTTTGTGTCTGCTGTTATTATCAAATAATAGTTTACTGTAGTAATGCCCATGGACAATTTAGTGGGTATCCGTTTAGTGATTTTTAAAACTTGATTTGTGAACAATTGTTATCAAAGTTTGTTTCCTTAAAATTTTATTCATGTTTAACGTGATTATCAGTATTACATAATACTGTTTCTGTGTACTGTACAATATCTGGTATTGTAGTGCGACCCGAAATCTGACTCCGATTAGATCGGACGAATGATTGCTATGGAAATATACATGCCACCAACTCTTGTATGTAGTTATCGTCTTAAATCGCGTTAGCGAATAAAGGAATTAAATAAGTCCATTACGAGAATGGATTTAGAATACGTATATTTCATACAATCGTTGATCCAGACTAACAATCAGAAAAACGAAGCGAACCGGAGATGGTATGTGAACCAACTCGATCTAACCAAGGTTGAATCGATATTTATAGTCAGACAAAAGGAAGTTGCCGATTCATAATGAATAGGGTAAATAATTAACACGCAATCATATAAAAAAACAGTCAGGACTAATAGGCGAATAAGTGACAAGGTAAAAATGTGGCTCGAGAAGAATGAAAAGATTGGTCTGTCCAGAAGCTAGAATAAACTATGTGGGTTTGAAATAATATCAGCCCCTACAGTACAAACACATTTCCCTTGTGTAATTATCACTCAAAAAGTACTACATATCAACTACAACCTGTTCTCATTGTTACTTCCGTCAATAAAAAGGATTCTCAACTGGTATTTTACAGAGCTATTTCTGATCATCCAATAACCATTGGACCTTGATACCAGTATAACTAAGTATCGTGAAGTGGAATTCAGTCAGCAACACTTCTAGTAACGAAAAATTCGTGGATACTTTGAACTATTATTTATAAGTAAAAATTAGAAACCAAGGTATAAAGAAGGAGTCAGTTCATGCCAATCACTTGGACTGTTTTTTCTTTTGCAAATCACCTACCAATACACGTTTAGGTATTCAACTCTGATCGACCTCTCGCTCTATACCAAATATGGAGAATCTTGCACAATGAAAGAAAAATATGACAATAATTATAAGTTTACACTTCTAGAATGTAATAATGTAAAATTCGCCTGTACATTTTATATGATTAGAGTGGTTTGTCGAAATACAAAATGCAGAGGTCAGTTATCTAGAGAAATGTTGAACATAAATTTATTAATTAAATTAGCTAATTTTTAGGTGAACTACAACATCTACATACACACTAGTAATCACGGAAATTTTTTAAGTGAAATGAAATTTGAATGAATCACAACAACCTACTTGTAATAACATTTGTAAATATTTAACGTCAGGTGGTTCTGTTGTTAATACTCGATCTAATTGTTCAACTCGATGTGCTATATCTTCTAAAGCAACTTCAATTGGGGTCAGAGTATGCGATTCAGTTGATACAACTAATAAACGTGTCTTCATATACGGAAAACATCGGGATGTTGTTAGGATGTATTTTCGTTTGTATTGTGTACTTAAACTACCATGAGCCTGTCCATCAATTGTGAACGGTAGAGAAAGAACAAAACGCTCTGAAAAAAAGTGATAGTAAAATCCCTTCACAATAAAATACTAAATTTTGAATTAACACACTAAAATAGAAATGTACCAACTCTTCAGTAAATGAATTCCAATCTATTTACATTAGGTAAATACTGTGTTTATATTGTCGTATGGATAGGAATTAAGTTTAGTTCATTACGAAAAAAATTGAAGAGATTTTAAGGAGAGACAGTATAACAAAATATTCAACTACAAATAGATTGTTAATAATTGTTTAAGATAAAATATTAGAGAAAGTAGCATTGTCAAATCGTTCTTTTTCTTAACTGGTTTTTTTGTTTTGTTTAATTAATCAACCTTATTCACATGTAATCTGTAAATATATTTCTTTGATCCATACACTAAAAACAGGGAAAGTTTACTTTGTCCCTATGGTATGTAGACTATTTAACTTCACGCAATAAGTGAGATAATGAATAGAAAGAATCGGGAAGATGAGTGTAGTAAAGAAAAATAGCAAAATAATAGGTGTGTGAGAGTAAAGAGGAGAAAAACAAATAATGGGAGAAGCAGTTCAATTAAGAAAGCTGTAACTACAAATCCTTTTGGCTAGAGAAGTTCCGCTCACTTCTATGAAGATAATGAAGGGAAATTACAGCCAGATTGGCACTGGCTTTTATTCCGAAACATTCCCGATAACTCTTCAAGCTACTGTGCTTTGTATAACCGCTCACTACCAAGTGCGAGTGCAGGCACAGGTTTCTGCTAGTCTTTTAGAAGCACTTTGGACTTACAAGGTGCAAAGCACATGCCATACTTAAGGACATTCATTACCAATTGACTAGGCGCTGATTGCATGACTTGAGTATCAGCAAACAGTAAAACGACATCTGCACACTGAAGGTCGAGAATTTCTCCAGTTAACAGATCAACATCACAATTACCTACTGACATCAGAGGTGCTTTCAGAATCCTATCGATGGTAGAGTTAATGAGGATTGATGAGATTTGGCAGCCCTACCTGATCTCATCGCTTGAATAAAACAATGGAGAGAGGTGGTTATATCCCTTCAATCTGCCTGAGGTGTTTATATAACGAAACTTCAGGATGTCAATGAGCTTCTCAGGCTCATCCATCAACAAACAATCGCAGAGAACAGTCCTGTCCAATGATATGAAGGTGGGTCTGACATTGAGAAATATAGATTGTTGTCCTACAATGAGTATAGCAGATAATGGCATTTTATAGATTTATTCAATCAATATCGTATTTTTTAGTAAGTTTACATTGTTTACAACTCAATAAACTAAGGGTAATACTTAGTATAGGGTTGTGGATATTGTTGAGTTTTAATTGAGATCATGAGCCGATGAAAGTTAGACAACCAGTGATCGGTTCATGATCTCAGTTAAAAGGCAATACTGTCAAGGTAATCTAGCGAGATTGTTCTATTGTGTAATCAGTAAGTTAATCTAATACCGATTGTAAATGTTTTTATGTTCTTACTCATAAGTACATCAGTGTAGTGAATGTGAGATAAGGGTTAATGGGGATCAAAAATATTAACTTTCATATCATCCTATGGTTTCAGATTTAAGTTCTCCTAAATAATAGTTATTTTCACTAATAAATTAACATTTTGTAAGTCTACAAATAAAAAAATGTATTTAATACTGTACATATACAACTTCTAATATGTTTTTAATGAGAAACTATGATCATAATATATCAGTTACATGGTCGGAAACATTTGACTTTCATTGAAAATATCTAGGGGCAATTAAGATTTGATATTTCTGTCTCATACAACTATGGTATGATTAGTTAAATTACAGTGACATAATGAAAGGATAAAAATTAAAAAGAAAACTAGTCTCTGACTTACTTAGACCATAATTACAATGAAATTTAGTTGTACGTCTTCGAAGTTCAAAATCCTCCAAATATGGTTCCACAAAAGTGATTTGAAGATAACCCTACAGAAATAAGGATAATGACATTGTCGGTTGAAAAATCTAATATAAAATATCCAGTTGAACAGAACATAATTCTTGCTCATATAAAAGATAATTAGAGTGTAAGATACATGGTAATGAAAGGTTAAGGGAGGATTGCTTTACGTTACATAATAACTATTAATAAGGTTCACGTTACAAATCATTGTACAAAACCAGTTACTACGTTTAAATTCCGAAGTAAGAAAAAAATAAACAAAAAATAATACATACTCACTAACTGTGTACAAATAATTAACTATACTCGTAGTATGAACTTTGGTAACGATCAGTTTTTGTGTCAATAGTGCGGTGAGCATTAAGCTTGAACCTAAACACCGGAAAGTTAAGTGTTCAGATCACAGTTCCATGGAAAACCAGAACTACAAAGTAATGTTTCGTCTTAGAAAGTAATCACAAGTTTATAATAAAAAAAACACTGATAAAATATAATTGTTAAATTCATGAGTCGATCTAAGCTAGACCATCATTGAAAACCTGGAAGCACTGGACGACCGTTATGTTCAATGCTTCCATGTGGTCTAGCTTAGATCGACTCATGAATTCAGCTTTTAAAATTAATACAATCTCCACAGATTCTCATTCTGATGATCAAATATAACTCCATTATATTAGACATACAAGTGTGAAGTAAATGCCATGAATAGTTCTATTTAAGAGTAGAGAGCACATATACGATCTAAAGCATAAAAAATAGGCTACAAATATGCATTAGAATATCAAAACTCGTTAGTTTCAGACCATTACTAACTTTGGTGTGAAAAAATAATGTACATATATTCCTAATGAGTCAAACGCCGAACCTAATGAATATGAATGAAAGAAACGTCAAATAAATACACCATTTCATGAGGAAATGAATGGCTTTATAGTCAACTCAGGTATAGCCTAACTTTCTTCAATCTCGAAAACGAAGGGGAGTAAATATCAAATATTTTTGAGAATAACTGAAATTTTCGATGATGAAACTACCGAATAAAACGTTTACTAATAGTAAAATATGACGATTGGTTTGCTTGGATATTTACGTGGTGAAATTGCTTTTCGAAAGTAAAATACATTGTTTTAAAACTAGTTTCTGTAGTGTTTTTTGCTTAGGATTAAAGGGAATTATGAAGTTACCGATTGAGTTGTTGAGATTGTATTAGTGAACTCACACTATTTAACGAGTATGGTTTGGCTGAAGATAAGTAAGTTATGTTCAATTCTCAATCCAAAAACGTTTTATTAATCGATAACCCTGACATTTTGACTTTTATGGAACTTGGAAATGGTTAGAAATTTTTTTGAACTAAGCAATGAAAAAGTAATTTACAAAACACATAATTTACTTACTTTATCACTATCTAATTGTTTTTCGTCTACAATATTTGAATCTTTAATGATGACTATCCTGTCTTGACCAAATTTATCTCCATAAAATGCCTACAGAATTACAGGCAAAAAAGGAAAGTACATAACAACAGATGAGTTAAAGTTTAATTAGAATTTTCACTAGATAAATATTACGAATAAAGCTAAAAGAACATTTGGAGGGCAACTTTTTGAAAAACACCGTCCTTCAGGTAAGTTGCACACAGTCTCACAAGCAACTAAGGACAGATTTGATTTTTACATTAATCTCTTCAAGTTATTTAATTTTCATAATTTAAATTTTATTGTACTATTAACACTAAGTGTGAACTTATTATGAGCTCGAAGTCCAAAGTTTCTGTTTTCCACAGTGACAGGAGTCGTTAAAACAGACGCGAAAAGGTGAATTTTGGTGATCTTGCATAAAAATTGAAAACTGCGACAAATCTCACTTCTTAAAGTTACACAGAATGCGTTTCTACACAAAAGTAATAAAAAAATCTTACTTGAAGTCTATGAGTGATTTCAGCCAATTTCGTGAATGGAGCTTCTTTATATATAAAATCTTTACCGTTTAATTCACCAAAAATAATTCCATGAAAACCAACACGGAAATAACTACTGAACATTCTTTTAGTATTCTGAAAAAATTAGAAAAGGTGTATTGATTAGTATATTTCCCTAGTATTATCGCAGTTTTATCACCGAAATAATTCGACAAGATCACTAAGCTAAATGAGAATATCGGAATGCGAGACGCGTGCAGATACAACAAAAATACGTTGATGATATCAGTTCTAATTGGACTAATAAAGAGATAACTGGGAATCATACAGAGAATACAAGTTTCCTTCATAATACTAAAAACCTAGAGATCTAACGCTAACAATAAAGATTGCCTTTTCTACACAACCGGAGCAACAAACATTATAAATCAAGAAAATTAAATAGAAGTATTGATTTAGAATACTTTCGAACCCGAGGAATCGCTCATCAAAGAATAATGAGACACATTATTGTGGGATCAACTACCAGAAATTAGTGTACAGGATTTGATTACCACTAAAAATCCCACAAACCTAACAATAATTACTTTGCAGTGATCTATCAATGTGAATATTTTCGTTCGAGAAAAGGTCAGCTACTACCAAATAGCTAAGTGGTTAAGTTTTCATGATACTATGACACAAGTTTGGATCTCATCAAGCGCACTAGCATTTTAAGTTTAGAAACTTATATCTAGGGTTTCCTATCGATTAGGTTCAACTACCTAATATCCTTAAGATGATGTCATATTTCTTAAATTTATTATGATAATACAGGTAAATTTTTAAAGATGAAGTAAATCACAAATATTGAATTCTATTGCCTTAAAAACTTTTACCGAAAAAAATGTTTCGATATTACCTGATTTTTATTCAGTACGGTATATGCATCTCTTATTCGTCCATGGATCTCTGCTAGACGTCCATAATCATTACTTGATTGCAACAAAAGCACAAGGCGAGAATATAAACATGGAACTATTTCATAAAAGCCAGCTTTTGCAAATGATTCTGCTGTCCAGGATATTAGTGCCATAAATCCAGGGATTGTAAAATGCCAAGAAACATCTAAAGGCATAAGAGATGATAAATCTTGTAGAATTATCGGTGTAGAACAACTGAACTTATCGAATACACTTGTATTAGGAAAGCCGCACGCACAACTTTCTTCAAGTATATTTAGATTTTGTACAGCATCAGCAATATCTGCACATCCAGCTGATGATAGTCCAGATGGACTACAACCTCGATTAATCATATGTTCAGCGACAATAGCTGTACAATGTGCTAAGCACTGAGAAGCTTCAGCAAATTGAGAAAGCTATAAATGAATTCAGATTTAAACAGTTGTTAGAAAATAAAAAAAGCAAACTATTAAATTTAAATATTATTTCCAAATTAACGCTAATTGATGGCTCATAATTGATTACATGTAGAAATGGAAAATCGACCTAAGTTCCTACATTAAACTAGAAAACTACGAATAAATAGTTACACATTCTAACTATTTGAATCAATTTGTGCTTATCGATGTTATTTCACTTTTAATAGATTTCCATTAAATCAGTATTTAAACGGAATATCACTCAATTAACAATTAAACTAAGAGGGTAACCTGACACCTGTTTAGTTTGTCCATTTCGAAGGCCTACAATGCCACAGTCAGGAAATATGTGGACTGTAAGCTTGAGAAAGACCATTTTGTATTCATATTTAAAATAAATCGCAAGAAACAAGACTAAATTCACCTCCTAATTTAATAACATCAAGACAAACAAAAACACAAAACATACTTCATAATGTTTCTCAGCAATTTGTAAAATCCAATACAATCGTAATTCCGGTGATGCACGGTTTCTATGTGATATAGAATGTAATAAATCAATCATTGAAAGTGTATCTTCATTCACTGTTTGTTTAAAACAATCATTCGATTGTTCCTGTTGTCGTTTATATACAACATGTATTGCATCTTGTAATCGTATAGCATCATTTAATAAATAATTTAAATTATCTACTAGTTGGCTAATTTGTAAAGTAAAATTTGTAGTGGGAATATTTGACATAAATGGTATTGTTGGCACTGTCATTGGTGTTGTAGTTATTCCAGAAACCGTATTATACCCATCGTCATTATTATTCAATGATAATGATGTTAAATTAAATGGTTCAATGTATCTTTCTGAATCAAACATTGTTTCTTCATAGTTACTGTTATTAATTAATTTAGTTGATAAGTTAGAATCAACATCTGATAAAGTTAAATGTTTTAAATAATGTAATGAATCAATTAAATATGCTTTCATTAACAAAGTAGACGATAATGTGAAATGAATATTTTCAGTATTCATTTTATTATTTAAATGTTTATTCATTAGTGAATTATTTGATATGATCATTCCACTATTAATTAACTTTGTAAAAAATGAATTAAATGTTAAATAAAGATGTACTTTGACAAAAGATAGATTCTATTGTTTGAGTAAAGAAGGGAAAAAAACGGAAATAAGATGTTGATTAGTACGAAATTAGAAAACATGAGAAAGAGTTATGAAATAAACAGTTTAATAAAGTATTGAAAATGTTAGTTGAACAATCATAGAGAGAATATTTCTGCAAACTATGAGCTAATCTTATATTATAATTTTACATGTATTAACTAAACTTTATATTCGATCAAAGTAAACATAATAGGGATTCAATGAAATTGGTTAGGGAAAGTAATTAAGCTGTAGAAAAATGGTTGATTTTTATGATTGCTCATCTTAGTGATGCGTTTTAACACGATAATGAGTCACTCTTACTTGAGGTTAAGCAAATAACACAAGCGGGTTACCTGTTTCTATTCCTCTAGTATTCATCTTAAAACTCAACTGTTAATTTTACAGGATATATTAATTCGCATCAAGTTTAATGAAAAATCCAGAAGGTTGATAAGATACAATCAATAAATGTACTTCTAATACTTTTTAATAAATCTAATAGGTAGAATTTATGTTTATTCGCTAACCATCTATTGAGATTGAATCAAATAACTATATATTATTTATCTAACATTTTTCACTATTTAATAAAAATCATTTTATTCAATGAACTTTCCACAATAGAGCTTATTTATTGACTAGTTCAATATATTAAATGAAAGATTTGTTAAATTTAACTTTGTGGAATTATTGTGAATAATAGCAGTACAATTAAAGTTATTGATAGAATTTGTTGGCAGTTTTCCATTCTGTCTTTTCAAATCATATTCTGAAGGTTTAGTATTTCTCTTGATTAATACCACAAGATTGTTTTCATCTCTTTTGTTATTATCATGTCTTCATGCTAACCAAATACGGGCACTTTCGCCACCGTATATCTATACTCTACTCTATGTTTGTCTGCATGCTCTTATTACAGGTAACTAATTAAATCATAATGAGTGATTCTCATATTATTGACATAAACTACAAGTTCGGTGATTATAAGTTGCCAGAAGCTATGTAGTCTGAATCGTTCAGTAGTAAGCACTCACATTGTGGTATACGTTCTAATAATCTAGGGAGCATTAGCTTGTTCAAGATTCCAAGTATATCATAGTGATAACTGCTAACTAGCACGAAACCTGAGTTCAAGATCTGTCGACTAGCTTCAACAACCTAATACCAAACCTTAGTGAAGAAATTGAGTCACTTAGATCATTCGCCTAATTGAAACTTGGTAGATAGAGTTGAGTCAGCACTAAGAACTAAACACATATGACAATGGTAACTATTCAGTGATTAGTCAATGTACAAGCATAATATCCTGTATATAAGATGGTATATAAATTGAGAAAAGAATATTCGGATAAATACCAAACGATTAGAAGTGCTTAACTCATTTTTTACGATGCATCAGTTCATTAAACAACGCTACTGCTATTTATACTTTTAAGTTGAAAAATTTGATGTTAATGTCACTGAGAATGTTTTGTACTAATGAAAATGAACAAATCTTCACGCTATTATACATGCTTATAGTTCGCTCAAATGTTTATGGCAGTAACTATAATTAATAGGAAATATCCACGTTTTAAAATTTAGGATTGTTAACCAAAAGTTCATGAATTGTAAGCACCCACAAGCTTCAGTTCAGGTGTTAGGAAGAATGTGGTCGAAAGCACTGCCATAAAATATCAAGCCGGAGAAAACGTCTATTAACAATAAGTTATGAATATGATAACACATTATTGCATAATTATTCAAACAATATTACCGAAATTCAAAAGTAACCACGTACTTTAGTTAGTGTATAATAATTTTTTATTAAAAAATATAATGTATCTACAGCATCGTCGCGAACAGTTGTTTCTTTCATTGTACATAACCGTAATAAATGATGACATGAAACAGAACAAAATTCCGGATTATCTTCAAATAAGAAGCTAGGGAACTAGAAATAAATTTTGAAAGAAATCAACATCAACAAGAATTAAATGTGAATTTACTGGAAAATACGACAATGAGAAAGGAAAATTATTTTCGAAATCTACATTGAACAGAGTGATGAAGGATAAAACGTTCTTAAGAAAAGAATTCGAGGAAATATGTACTCTCGAATTGAGACTAATTTCAGATTGATTGATCAAATAATTCAGTTATTATATGCGAACGGGACGATTGGATTATAGAGGTACAAAGCGAACATATATTAATTACTTAAAAAATGTTAAAATAACTTACACGTGATATGATACGTTTCAAGGAAAGCAGAATGCGTTGATAACTCACTGAGCTTTGATTTAAACCAAGTACATATAAGATAATACGAATAATACAACTGATAAGACATTGGCTTGTAGAGGTATTGTTTTCATTATTAATCGAATTCGATTTCTTGTAAGGTAGAATACAATTAAATGGATAATTATAAAGTGTGAATAAACTTAAGCCAGGTTGGCCAAGTGCCGTGTCCGCTTGCCATAATCCCTGAAAGAAATATAAGTGCGAATATTCACTAAATCACACTATTCAAATAATTAAATATTCAACAAAAAATCATCACTAATGTGATACATTTTCGAACACACGTTATCTACTGAAGGGAAACAATCAAAACTATTAAAATCTCTACGATATCTATAATTAAACATGAATAACTAAATACTACGGTATACAACCATCTATGATGGCTAGAGGGATCAAGAGAGTTCAATATCCACTTAGGCATCTTTCAATCAAGATATCAAGCTGATTTATTCAGAATTGCTTTTAAAAATGAACTTGGTTTAAAATTCTAATCCTATTATGTAACACTGTGAAACAAAGAATAAATTTATTGAGTTATTATTCGATGACAAATCCATTGAAGTTTTGAGAAAAACTCCAAGACAATAGGAATCGAGAAATCAATCTAAAACTTATCATTGTAGGGCTGTAGAGTAATGTTTAAGCGTTTGACTTTTAGCTGCAAAGTCGAAGGTTTGAACCCTGCTCGATCTGCTTCAACTTGAGAAACCATGTGGTATCAAAAGATCGTAGCCAATCTGTATCTGGTAAATGAGCTAAATAAACAAATAACATTACAAAATGTATTAGCGCTAGCCTTAGGAATCTATAAATTTGTCAAATAATGTTCAGATATTTTTATTTTCTTGCATTAAATGTCTACTTCAAATAAATTTGTATTGAATATAAAATGGAATTAATGAACCACAAGCACAACTTGAATTTAAGTGTATAATATCTTTTTTAAGTACTAAACACTAATGACATGAATACTTCACATAAATTTTATAATTATTCTTTTAATTGTCTTAAAACAGGTGAGCACTGACAATGAATCTAATTTGCTTTCGATGAGAAAAAGGTATGAAGCTTAAAATGTACTAAATACGGTACATCATATAAAACCCATAATGAATATATTTTCATCACTCTAGTAAGATGAAATTTACCAAATAATTCAACAATGTTTAAACATACTTCTATTGTAGCATCCAACGAATTGCACAAAACCATAACAACATCATTAGAAACCAAAATACTTCGTAGAACATTTAAATCTTGATTTGAGCTAAACAAATCTGTATCATTTGAATATGATCCCAGTGAAAAACTATTAGATCTTGTAAATTTAGTCCTGAGTTTTAGTAAAGTTGGACGAGAATGATATTGTTGACTTGAGGAAGTGTTGTTATTTTGATGAACATAAGGACTTGACAAAGTACAATCAACTGATGGAGATTTCAACTTGATAATTGAATCATGAGGTGATTTTTTAAGGGATCGATCAACAGAAATATGATCTGTAAAGTAAAACAAAGGTTAGATTACGCTACAGTAACCTATAAATTAGATTCTTGGAAAAAAGTCACACTCTAAGTATAAGGGCGAATGATACTACCTGGATGACCAGATTGAAGTAGATGGATTGCGGTTTAAACCTGGACCTTATGGTTGAATCCCTTAACCACTAAGCAACTGTTCCAGAGGTTATATATATATATATATATATATATATATATATATGTACTGCACAAATTATGAAAAAGTGAAACATAAGAATAATCTTTAGCATAGTGATGAAGATTGAATCTTTTTCAAAATATTTCTGACTTGTTATTAGTTGGAAAGATGTATTTGAACAGTGAGCCTTGGATTTTATGTTGTAAAGTTTGGAATTTATTTGACTTTTTCAAAAATAATGGCTAACATATCTTTTTTATGAATTCGATATTTATTTAATAGGACTTTGAGATATATCTGACAAGCCAAACTAAATGTTAACCTGATCTAGGTCTGGCTTCTTTTAATGTATGAGTGATCTACAGAAGTTGTGTAACTTGGTCGCTTATATTTTGAATGAATCCTGTTCATGTTTATTTTTGTCGATTTTCAATATACTATCATGTTTATTCACGGACTAAAAAGCCATTGTCTGCTGACATTAAATAGTCATTCACAAATGATGCTAATTTAGTATCTAAAGTAGTTACCAGTTATTTCACAAGTTTCTATCAATCAGCATTGTGTAATATTATTTAAATGACTAAGATGTACGTGTATCAAATTAAAAAGCCTTTCTTTTGGTAAATTTTACCATACAGACATTGTGTACTAAAAATTACATTACATGATCACAGCAATAGACTGTATAATTAACACTAACGTTAAGTGGCAATAAATCTATAATTTGATAAGAACAGAAGTTTGATAAAATGTATTTGTAAGCACAAAGTTTTTGATTGAAATATGAAAATACTACTGAAGATTAGGAATTACTGAAACTTTGTCTCATGTTTTCAATCAATTAATTCTAGATGATTTGTGTTCCCCATCATATTTTGTCTTAGTATTCATCTTATAATAAAAAATGACAGACAATGATACCGATAAACTAATGTTGCTTCAAGTATATTAAGTGACCAGTTTAATTTTGCAACATCGTTTTGAATATCGATACAATGAATATGTTTTTGATAGTTTACCAAACGTTGTGGATAATAAATAATTATGTCTAGTACTTAATGCGAGGAGAATTTTGTCGGCTAATTTTAAATGTGCATCAGGTGATCTGATAATGTGGAGAATATTTTGTTCAGTGTTAGTCACATGGTTGGAGGTAATCTGCGAAATGTTCTAAACTTACGTTTCATGCTAGATGATACTCATCAAGAAAGTATATTTACAGTCTTTTAGGAGAGCAATACCTCTTGTGATGTTTGAGTTAGTGTTTCATTCAGAGATTCAGATAATTAGAACATGCAAAACTCCACTATCTGTTTTAGGTAAAATATTGAGTAATGCATTAAAATCGGCATTTATTAGGTCATATATAGACAACTGTTTGTATAAAGTTAAGTAAAGACCGATAACTACAAAATATTGGTATATACAGGTATTTAAAAAACTATTTCATATCAAATTAATGATATATATTTTCAAAAACATACCATTTGATGAAGTATTTTGATCCAAGGTATTTCGTGATTCATTCTTAATTACTTGATAATCTGAATGATTTCTACTATCTCTTAGAGGGTAACTATCTTTAAGGGGTAAATCATCTTCGGAAATCTATTAATTAATATGATACAAAAATAAAAGTTAATGATTAATCAGATTGTCATGTGGTCGATAACGATAACCGAAAGCCATATGTCAGTAGCTTTAAGTTCAATAAGAATTCTAGAACAAGATTAAGAGATTTAAAACCATGTCGCCAGTGAATTCAAAGCTTGTCTCCATAGTTTTACTTCAACTAGAAATCTACAACATTTTTTCACTAGGATACACCTACAGTCAGTATTCTCCAGAAAAAATTGTTGTATGCACTGTAATTAAGGATGAAAATATGTTACATAATTGTTGCCTCCCATATACAATAGAGTTGAATGCACTTGGAATGTTTATGGAAAAATGGAGTGATTAGTGTAAGTAATGAAGGATTTCAACAAATCTCTTTAGCTATATAAGTTAAAAGCATATGAAATTACATCACTATCAGTTCTCCAAATGATTCTCAAAGCTATAACCTTTATACAGACGAAATGCAATTCTTTTTAAGACTTATTTTCATTAGGACTATGACAGAATAATAATAATTTATTTGGGAACCAAGGACAAAATGATAAATGATATTTGTATTTTTAACTTGACGTACATGCTTATTTCAATGATCATTTATATGCTAATACACTTAATTGTTAACCAATATTTTGTAGTTAGTATCATGGACAGGCTGTAGGCAGTCAATGAAAATCAGGAAGCATTGGGCAGTTGTTTCACTCTGGTATGGGACTACTCAAATGTGCGTACTCACAAACTTCACAGGGATCAAACTCAGTACTTTCAGGGCTCTAAGTGAGCCATTAACCTCCAGACAATCAATTCAGGATCCAAAATTTCACGTTTTTGTGTTCGGACAACTTGTCATATTGCGTGACCATTAACTGTTGCTAACGGTAGGCAATTGTTTCACTCTTAACGTTGTTAAACTTCATTGATATGGGACTATCACTGGGACTCCGAGAGTTCGGCTTAGAAATGAAACACTGGTGGCTAAATGGTTATTACTAGTATAGAGTGTTTCGTAAGGATTGTCGAATCATATAGTTTATATCACGGACTTACTGTACCTAGACAACCACTAAGAATCAGGAACCACCAAGCAGCTATTTTTTTAAGCTTACGGGGTCAAGATAAATAGCACTAAAAACCATATCGTATTAATGGACTTAAAATAAATGTATACAAAACTACTAATAAGACATTAACAAAAAATCACTGAAATATATACTGTTTTATCATACGTGAGTTTCGAAAACATCTACGATTAAGAAAATCAATAACAAAAGCTGATTCCGCTCTTTAGTGCTAGCTTGTTGAAGCCATTCATGATAAAGTGAATCGGGAATATATTTAAGGATCCAAACATTAATTAACAATAATCGTTTCATTGTAATATATTTCATAGGTTTAGTAGAATCCAATTCGGTATTCAATATAAGGTTCACATCTGAATCTTCATTAGGTAGTGGAGAACGAGGTTTTTCAGGTTCTTTAGTATTCAAGTTCCCGACCGATACAGATTCCAAGAATTTAGTAGGTTTTGCAGATCGCCTTATCTAAAAGTTTATTCATGATAAGATTACGAAAGAATATTTTAGTATGAATGAAAGGACGGTTTAATTGTAATTTATTAATAAATATTGAAGAAATGCGTGGCAGAAATATGGTCAATAGTATTTGTCAAAGTGCATCCAAGCGTAACCGTACATAGTCTTTATAACCTCTTGAGTAGACAAGTTGACAACTTTTACAGAGTAAATAAGACGCAGGACTTTGGAATTTAAAATCAGCAACGACCAAAGTTATTATCAACAAATAAGTTCAATGAATTATCTTTTATATTCAGTCAACCATCACTGATCCTCTCAAAGAAAGCCATGGTTCAATTCATCAAACAAGTTATTAGTGCGGGTTAAAACTAAGTGATAAATATGCTACATAATAAAGTGACCATAATAAACGAATGTCACACATTGAGTTTCGAAAACAATGATTCATTTAGAAGTGCGTTTTGACATGTCAATCATACTTATTTGGTAGAATATTCATCAGAAATTTAATCATTTGACAGTAGTTTGTTGAAAGAATCTCCAGACAATAAACATTACAAATAATACTATTAACAAGCGTCATATATGGACTTGAAGTTGAATCCGGAATTGTGTAAAATTAATCTTTGAGTAAAAATGATTGCAAACTGATGATTTATGGTTTTTCGGCTTAGAAAGTTAGCTACTTACGAGTAGTAAAGTGTTGTATGAAAAAATATAGTAGGAGGAACTGAGTAGAAACGCAGCTTGAGTTAAATATTACTACATTAGCTACTAAAATATAGATTTTTTCAAGACAAATTTACATTTGTTAACTTAAAATGACTTGCTAGACAAAACTAAAATATAGTACTAAGTACTGAATTATTTCCTTATATTTTTTACACCATCAGAGAGACGATGAATGTTGTTTAGTTTCTGAAAAAGGATACAAAATTCAAGACTGAAATTAAAAAAAAGCTTGAATCATGGAAAAGTATTAACGATTAAGATTTTAATTCTACTTAAATCGTCACTAATTTATCGATAAATGTGTACTCTGAAAAACTATATCCAAGATTGTTCAGTTACTAAATAAAGCATATTAGAATGATTCTGCTTTCCATTCACATGGTAAAAACTTAAACATCACAAGAGATTTAGAGGTGTTTTATTTCTGAGGTATTTATTTACCAGCTCAGAGAACACTTTATCATAAAATACTTTCTAATTGTAAAGAGTAACGGTAATTAAGATGATTGTGTGGGGAAGTTACATTAATTGAACGTTATGACTATCATGAAATGTGTACGAATATCCTGAGAAGACAAACAAAATGTAAGAGACAATATATAAAAGAACGAAATTGTAGACGATATGCAAGTGATACATAAATTCATGCCTTTGGATAATAGGAATCATAATCTGAAAACGTGTATGGTAGTAATGAAAATAATAAAAGACTATCTGAACACTGAGTGATATAATTAGGAAGTGGGTTGAAAATGGATTTAGAATTACACATAGAAAATACTCGAACGAGCAAGATCATCAATCGATAAACATACCCGTCTCATTCTTCCGGAAGCTCGAACTGTTGAACAAGAATCATTCGATGAATTAGGAACCACTTTATCTGCTGTTGTAGCATATGTAAATTGTTGTTTAGGTTTGGGAAATTCAGTCTCAGCAGAACGATTTGATCGAAGTTGGTTTAAATGCCATGTTTTAACAAGACATGGCAAAGAATCACACGTAATATTAAGTATTGGGGAATAAAAGTAAGTGAGTTGAGATAGGTTAGAAATCGATTGAGATGAAGAATCTTTTTCTGATGTCTCTTTTTCTAAATCCAATTCATTATTTAATAGAATATTCCAAAGAACATCAACTCCACGTCTTTGAAGGTCAGAGTCCCTGTTAAAAGGGAAAACATAAGAGAGGAATCTAAATAGTCAGTTAATTTACAAGTTCAAAGTTAAATATTTACCTAATGCTTGAGATATAAACTTCATAGGTTGATAAAATATAACTAGTCCTACTTTACAATAATTTGAATACGTTTTTTTAATTAAGTGATTTAATAAATTATTTTGATTACCATAATAGAATTGAAGGAGTAAAAGGAAATTGAAAATAAAGTTCCCAATATTCCAGGATAATGAAACTAAGACCATCAAAATTATGAGGAATGAAATAAATTCACTAGCATATCAACAAATAATATCAAGATGAAAAACTTATTTGAATACAGTCATTTATAGATGGTATAGATATGAATATACTACTTGTTATTCATTTATTACTTTGATTTGTGAAGAACAAAATTACCAATATAAAAGTAGAAATGAAAATTTTGGACACGTAACTGTTTTATTAATGTTTTTTCAATAAAATACACCAATGATGATATTATTCTATTCGTTTACGCTTTTAAACGGTAATTAGACTGGGAAAGATTTAGCAAGTTTAGCGCCCAACATATTCACGTTTAGTAGATAATTAGTATAAGATAAAACTGATCTAACTAAATGAGTCTATGGAATATTCCGCATTTTCCTGATGAGTTTATTTTCTTGATTAATAAAATTTTCATGATATACGGTTGATGAAAACTAATATAATCAACAATTGAGTATCAAAAAAATACCGGTACTTTATATCGCTGACTGAATTTATTCAGACATCCATTAGAAATCGAGATGCTATGAACGGCTGTTTAGTCCTAATACGGGACTCCTGATAAATGAACACTAATGACCACACCTGGGATTGAACCAAAATACTTTGGGCTTAGATGTGAACATGTTAACGTTAGGCCAATACAGTGAGGCCTAATTATCAACATTTCTAAATGCAAACAATTCACCATACACTATACCAATAGTTCATTAAGTACACTTTTGAAGCGCCCTACACTAGAACGAAACTCCTAAACAGTGTCCCTTGATTCTTAAGCTGACTTTGGTCAGTGATATGAAATGTAAACAGAACAAACCTTCTATGCTAAAATATTAGAATAGTTTCCAAGATATTAATGTAGAAATGTTATTTTTCTATATGATACCTCATTGTACATTGGACTGTAGTTTTTTTTATCTAAGTACATTTTCTGATGTCAGGCTTACTAGAATCAAGTGAATGAAAACTATTGATCCCTTATTCATTCTGATATTTCTCAAGTGATTATTTAAAGTGAATAAAGCCACTCTTATTTCGTATACAAATAGATTCTTATGAGCAAATTCCAATTATTCAATTCAGAAGGGTTTAGGTGAAAATTTTTTAAAAAAACAATAAGAAAAACGAAAACTTGTCGAACTGTAACTTACTCAGATCTTAAAGCTGTGATCAATTCACAAATAACTAGTGAAATAAGAAAATGTCTATTGAAGACATTCACATTATTTATGTTTAAACTTTTTGCATGATAATCATCAGTGTGACAATGATGATGATTATCTTCAGTTCCATAGAATTCTGGTTCAATAGTAGCTAATGGAATATAATTTGACTTTATATAAGGCTTTGTTTGATGATTATTTTTGCATAAGGATAATTGCTTATAACTTTGAAGTAATCGTTCACAATTCACTGGTAATAAATTATTGAAATTAACATTGTCATTATTACAATCATTCAACAGGTAAAATGCTTTATGTGAACAAATTATTTGTAATAAATCTAATTTGAAATAATTTAATAATTTATTACTTGAAATTTGATTTAATTCTGCATCCGAGAGTAGTTGATCAATCTGTATTGGTGATAAAGATAAAGGCAAATACACATTATTAGTATAGGGTTGTGGAGATTGTTGAGTTTCGATTTATATCATGAATCGATCAATGCTAGACCACCATTGAAAACCTGTAAGCACAGAACGGCCGTTTCGTCATAGTACGGAACTCCTCAACAGTGCTCATCCACGATCTCGTACGCGAGACCGAAGGTTCTGGTTCTTGATGACCTTGTTACCTATCATTACAAGAAGGATGACACTAACTTAGGAAAAACAATTAGGGGAGATAAGTAAGTGTTACACTTTGTAACATAAACCTATGATATATGAACACAAATGATTGATAAGAGTAGAAGATTTGATATTATACGACGTTAAGAAGATGGAAAGACAAGTAGATAGCAGTAAATCATGTTAAATATACCAAGACGACTACGAAATTAACATAATGAAATGGAGAAGCATGTGTTCGTACTGACGCTTTCATCACATGATCAATATTAAATTACAGAATTCTTCACATACTTCTAATAATCCGATAACAGTTTAAATAAAACACCTACACATCTGAAAGTTGTTCTGACAACATCCAAATAAGAATAGCAACAGAAAATGAAATTTGTGAAATTTTGAACTTTTTAACAACACAACAGATTGCTAACATGAACTACAACTGTTTCAACCCTACCATAATTAACGATTCACATGTACACATATTATTATTACTATTATCATTACTATTAGTGGTAGTACTATTATTATTGTGCTTTGGATTATTTTCAATCCATTTCAAGTATGAAATGAAAAGTGCATAAATTGTAGAAAATTGTATTTGCTAAGTTTAAGGTAATAATAATCATAATTTGTTACTAAACACAGAAATATTTATTCATTTATCAATAAACTTTAAATGAATTCCAAACCCACTCACTTTATTCCAATAATTTTTTATTTCAGAAAAAATATACTCGATAGGTAGAAATGAGAAAAGATCGTAAAGGAAAAATGAGAATATTTGATTGTTTAGTCGATGAGATTCCCACTGAGTTGAATCTGCTAAAACAAAAATAAAATGGTAAAAAGAAATAGAATTTGTTAACAATTCAAAAATTTGTGTATTAGGTCTTAGTTTATGTAATTGACCATGAAGTAACATATTCTGTTGCCTGAGAAGTAATGATAATACCGATTTGCCTAAACTGAGTTAAGTTGAATGGAGTTTTGGCTTGTAATTTAATGGTTAAAAGTAGAGTACTTTGAACACTAAACCATTGCTTCGTCACTAACAAATATGGTATGAAATTAAAGGAAATAGAAATGACCAAAACTTAAAACGACTATACAAATATGTAAATTCCAAACTAACGAAACTAATGTCTAATCTGTTTGTTAATATTCCTTTTCTGCATAATCATGAATACCATCAAAACATTACTGCAAGCATCTTACTTAACTTATTAGAAATTTGTGTTCATTCAAAAAAACAAAACGGAAGGAAAGTGATCAAACAGTAGAACCATCTAGGATAAAAATTTAATTTCAATACATTGATTACAACTACTGTTGAAATATATTTTATGAAATACAATTAATTTAATGGAATAATAGTTAATTTGTTACTTATAATAAATAAACACTTTAAGGACTTTTAGCCATGTTGCAAAATCAAAGTGTGCCGCAATAAAAATAGTTTTAAAGGAATGTTAAAATACTTAATCATTAAATAAGAATGAAAAAGCAGAATCAATAGAATGAAATGTGAACTTCAGATGCCATTGCTCACCACCATATAGATCATTGTATTTTCATAGCCTTTGTTATTTATTTATTTACATATATAAAAATTGGTAAAAGGAGGTACGATATAGATATGCGCCACATAAATCATTCGATTTGTGTGAGGACTAAGATATTGCCCGAGTGTTCAAACCTAAGTTGATGGTTTTGTTAGGGAGCCACATCCCGAGCCTTTGACCTAATCCACAAGGCAGTGGAGCAATGTTAGAAGGTGCAGTCCCATGGTGTTCGGCGACCAACAATAGGTCTATGCGTCATTTATTTCCTTACGATACTGGAGCCCATGTGCATGACTGATTTGGAATCAGGATTTCCTAACTCCCCTAGGTGGATCCTTCGTATCCACCGACCCGGGAAAACGCCGGATATTCGCTTTTCGTTCTCTCAGTTTCGTCAACAACATCCACACCGCCAGGAAGTAGTGAATAGAACTTCAGTGGCAGTGGTTGTATTTTTCGTGGCCATATGAGGGCATTTTGAGAAAGAGATAGGACTATCCTCACTCTTTGCCAACCAAGGCATTTGAGGGTAAGCGGTGTGCGCCAGCCGGGAATCAAACCCGGACTGCCCCCATGGCAGGCGAGCATTCTAACTCTAAACCACCGACGTCCCTTTAGTCCTTGACCCTTTTAGTAAAGATGTCATGACAATAATTGTGATTTTATAATGATCAGCGTTAGAAATGGTATCTTGTATATTAATATTAACACAAGGTGATGCTTTCCCAATTCTATAAATTAACCTCAGTCTACCCTTAGATAACGATATCAAATGGATGGTAAGTATCGTCTATTATAAATAAACGGCTAAATAAATAACAATGTGATGTCTAAAACGATGTTTGTTAGTTAAAATCATTTTCAAAACACCGCATATTTATCAGATAGTTTTTAAATGAGATAAGACGTCTTCATATAGACCACCCTACAGAATATTTAAGAGAATCAACTTCTAAAAGAAGCAATTCATAGTGATAGTATATTATTAAACTTACCATCCGAAATTTTAGTATATTGACTACAAACGTATCGAATCATATATTCTGTTAGGCATGTATTAAATGAACTTAAATCTTCCAAAAAACAAGGGTTTTCATATAGTGGTAAAATGATGTTCGGTTCATTAGCTTCTATTGTCAAGTGCCAATCTTGTGCTAATAAATGAATCTGAAATTAACAGATAATAAGTAATATGTTTATTTTACATAAAAATAAGGTAGAGAAAATATAAATCACATTATTCAGAAGCTTATTCATATATCTACTTGACTGAGAAAATTGACACCTCATAGAAAAACAAATCAATTTGGTAGATTAGGGAATATACTTTTAAGGACATAGTAGGTTTTACAAGGTCAACTATTCCTTTTCCAGAGGTCACCAAAAGTTTTTAAATAAATTAATTTATAGCTTTATCATCGGAGTGTTTGTATCATGAATTGTGTGTATGAACTAACAGCATAGGTGAAAAATAATTTACACTATATCCTAATTGTATTTTTCACTTTATCGATCAACTCTATTCAGATGGAAAGCATCCTGAAACAGAATACTATACACTAGTAAACTATACATCCAAGCACCTACATTTATATTTACCGCTTCTTTTAATCAGTTCGAACGAGAAGAACACACATGTAAAGACAAAATAAATCGAAAACAAGTGTGTAATAATCACCCAATCGGGAATCAAACACAGCATTCCATAATTGAAATGAATTTTTTGAAGAAAACGTTAGTTATTGGTTGAGATTTGTAATTCAACTGAACTAGTTTTCAAAATATTAAATCAATGATACAACTAATTGTTAATATAGTAGTTTGTGAACATTTAACTGATTTAGGTTTAGCCTCATTGTGAAACAGCGAAGTGAGTAAATTTTGCAGATAGAGAAATTATGAAATATTTGTTTTGTTATAGTTTAAGATTTCTTGGTAAGGTTAAGTTATAACCTTTAAAGCGTTTTACTTTGGAGTTACTGAATTTAAATACAACGGTGACTTTTTCCAAGTCTAATTGTAAGATACAGTGTGATTATTATCTAACATCATTAGTCGAATTCTAATATATAACTTAAGAACAGAACACAAGTACATCAGACTAAGAACAAAACGTACCAGGTGCAAGACGGAGATACTACTTGATAATTCAAACCAAAAAAGGTAAAACAGATTATAGACATGTGGCTAATCGACTAAAGATCTAATGCTTAAAACCCAAAGGATTAAAAAACTTAATCATTATTCAATAAAAGTGGTTTTAAGAACTTTCGTTAACGTGATTTGAGATACCGCTACTGTCTGATAACAAATGAAAGAAATATCGACAATAGACGCTATTATGCACTAATCTAAGATATATTAGTGAACTGTTATATAGTCCAGCTAACATGTCCAATGACAATAGGGAACGTTTTACAACATAAATCTACTCTAATTAGTATGTCTGTGTAATGAATAAGGGAATTTATAACTAGATTGACAAGCTTTATATCAATCATAGAGATGCAGAAAAATAACAAATGCGCAATGCTAAAACAACTTCACGAACATTTTTGTGACAATTTAATGATGCATACTTAATCGTACAGTTTTATTTTATTTGAACACATAAATATTGATACAAGAGGGCACCAAATATATATGCGCCACACCATATTTGTGTGTGGGCTGTGATACTGCCCGGGTGCCCAGACCGAAGCAGATGGTTTTCTTAGGGGGCCACACCCCGAGCCTTTGATCTAAAGGTCTAACCCACAAGGCAGTGGAGCATCGTGAGGAGATGTAGTCCCATGATAGCCGGTGACCAAAAATTGGTTCATACGCCATTTATTCCCGCGGGATACTGAAGCCCGTGTGCACCATTGGTTTGGGATACGGTTAAAGCGCCGGACATTCGCTTTTCTTCCTCTCATTTTCGTAAAAAACACCTCCGCCACAAGAAGGCAGTGAGTAGGACTTCTCTGGCAGAGGCTGTGTACGTGTGGCCGTGTGAGAGCATTTCGAGTGGGAGGGCGGGCCCACCCCACTCTCGGCCATACCAGGGCATTTGAGGACCTGGTCTGATCTTACAACCACCTCAATGAACTCTTCTAATTAGTAAAAAAAGATACACAGTGGACAAAGATAGGTTAATTTTTTTCATAACCAATGTTTGTTGAAAAATTACACGTTTTCAAGCAGATAACTGAGTTACAATGAATAGTAATTTAAACAACTTAATGAAATAAAAATGTAAAATGTTTTTACATCGTTTTAGATGCAGTTAGATATAAAACAAATGAGCAAACCTAGTTACTTATAGTTTGCACAAAATGTATCGCTGCCAATATTACGATTATTATTTGAATTTTAAAAAATATAATTTTATTATATAAAATTATTTTGAGAAAATTCTAAAACAAAAATGAATTTTTACAACCCTAATTCATGAAAAGTCAAAAGAAAAATAATCCAATAAATTCTATTTGATCCGACATGGTTACGTTAACCGATTAACTAATGAAAAAACACATTCAATATGACTTACAAATAATTCCAAAAGAAACCATAATGAAGGGAAAAAAGTTTGACTACTTTGAGAATCATTGAGTTTAGTTCTGAATAGATAGATTTTTATAAGTTCAGTTAAAATGATCTGTTAACAAAATGAAAAAAATAATTAAATTTATTTAAAACTGAGAAATTTATTAATAACAGTCATGAACAAATAGATGTGAAAAATAAAACTTCTAGTTGATGACTAAAGTCAGAAATGTTATGTTCAAATGGTTTAATCTTGGTAGTATTAAATATTTGTCATACTGTTGTTTTATCATTTAGTCTTTTGAATTATCAGAATACGAATGACTGACCTTTGGTTCAATTCTCTTTTTAATAAGAACGAAATGACAGTTTAATATTCGGTCTACTAATGCACCGCTACTACTATTACTACTTCTGTAGTGTATACTACTTACGCTGACAGATATGAGTAGTATTTACGAGCAGCCTGAAGTTGAACGCCTGCAAGCATAAAATTAAATTGAAGAGAACAGGAAGGAAAACAGAGAGCAATAAGAATAAATACAGAATTGGAAGAATCATGAAGTATGTAAAGGACAATCGAAGGAAAATGTGAAAATAATGTATTTAATATATGATTTTCGCATTTTACCAGGGCGCTGTGTAATTTTGCATAAAATAATGAATCGGCGTTGCCCACTAAGCGTTCGTTCACTGCACTACTTCAGATAGTCGTGCAAATGTGTTATGCAACTCAGCTACATAATAAATTCATAAGGAATCAGTAAATTTCATCGGTCAACCTTCATTTTAGACAATTCCTGAAGAGTCAACTTATAAAGTATGAAAGAAGTAAGTCAGTAAAAGTATTAAACTATTTACACTTTACATAGTTCACTTTCAAGTCCTAATGTAGAATAACCAGTCAGTGGTATATTGATTCTTAGAGACATTTAGATTGTATGAATTACTAATCACTTTATATTCTTTGAAACAGAAGGATATATTCATTATCTTCAATAAATATATTTTTCTGAAATAGTTGTTGCTATTAAAAATATTCAGAGATCAGTTTACATAGTCCCAAATGATTTTTACACTAAGCTACAGGAAACAAGGGCATTAAGGTGTAAGTTCTAATCCCTTTTATTAAGAAAAGAGGCTTACAAAGAAAAAAAATCAATCATAAGTTGATTAACATATATATGAGATTAAATTACTGTAAAGTTTAAAGCACAATATTTGAAGTGTGTACAATGTTATAGTAAAAATCATCTATAAAATATAGGTATTAATTTTCCTAGAAAAGGTTTAATGAGAAAAATGAAAATGAAGAATATATCAGTTGTTAAAATGCTGTCAATCATCCGGGAACATGAGCACAAAACAACGTTGAAAAAAAGAGTAAAAGCAGTAACAATAATAATCTGAGATTTTTACACCATTTTTACATACATATATTTCTACCTTAAAACATTTAAAATCACTAATACTACTATTGTTACCGAACATCTAACAAAACAGGAATTTTAGTGATACGTCATTTGAGTTAAAATGGTTCAGTTGAAGAAATTTGCATTATCATTTCGTAGAGAATAACAGGGTCCCAAATTAAGTGAAAATTTTGATAATTATTAATGGAGGGCTAAGTCAACCCGTTCTGATGACTTGGTGATTGATTGTTATTATGTGCTATGTCATTCGTACACGATTTTGTTTTCAATTGTTCACTGAACATGTGACTGATCGATATTTCCTGTACAAAGATATGAATAAAATCTAAAGCCAATATGTATTGGTAGTAAAATGACTAGAGTGTCACAATGCCAAACAATAGAACACTGATAAAAACATCCAACTGAGCTCTAAATCTCATTAATGGCATTTTTGACTCTATCACTACTTAATTTCTTAAAATTTACATTTTACAGACACGTAGATTAAAATTCAGTCCAAAAAATGTATCAATCAAAAAAATTATTGCTGATCTATGAATTGTAACTAAAAGATCTATGATAGATATATGGTTTAGTTAGGGATTAATCAATAAAATTACAGTCAGTTTGAGTGTTCTTGATTATTAGAAAAATATTCCATTAGACAATACTTTTCCCAAGTAATTGAATGAATATATATTGCAAATTATACCTTCATCTGTTAATATGCATATCATACACTGTAATGGATTAATGCTTCAGTGAAATGCTAATAAACGTCCTAGACAACTTCATTTAATTAGTTTTTATATACACACTTAAGTTGAAGCATCGCAAGAAATAGGAGATTGATCAAAACAGATTATTGAATTTCTACAGAGGATTACCAATAAAAACATTTTTTTAGGGAATCGTAAACGTGAACTTTTCGCATTTCTGAATAAACGAAAGTGTTAAGCTAGTGATCTTTGGCAATTACTGCTTAAATATCTGTGAGGAGTGATACATTATACAAGTCATTAGAAAGCTGATATGAATACGATACCAATAATTCTAAAGATTTACACAGAGTTTAACTGGAAAGCGAAAAATGGAAGCCTAGTGAACTGTTGTTTTTTGTCCTTAAAAAAAACGAAAAATATTATCGCCATGGAAAAGTGACTAGTTTTTGGTCGGCAAACAAGTGTTTTATTTTTATTGTGTAATCAAGATTTGCATTACTGAATTCATTAATATAGAGTAATGATTTCAAAGTATCGTTAACCTTTCCTTTGTTTTACGAGGATAATGACAAATAGTTAAAATTACTAATATATATATATATATATATATATATATATATATATATATATATATTAAGGAAAAAGATAAGATATACATTGGCTAAAAGGCTTTTATCGATCTGTTCGGGATTTACCAAATCCGAAACTATCGGTACTCCAAATAACGGATGTCCAGAGAAGTAATGACCTAAAACTAAAAAAAAGAACACAAAGGGAAAACTAAATAAAACTAGTTTTAATGAAATATTTCATTAGTGGTTTCCAAATGATTATTATTTTTAGAAATTATAATAATTCAATATTAAACTGTGTAGTATCTTCAGTATAATGACTCAGAAAACATGTGGGAGGATGTATATTAGTTAATAAACTAAACTTTTGGTTATTCTATTCTCAAAAACATGTTTTAAAAAGCGATTTATTTATGTTTTCTTCATTAATTGTAAGTGAAATGATCAATATTTAATTTAACTATAGAAATCCTGTAACATTGATTAGGTTGACCATCAACAAACAAAAATATGTAAGTATTACTTTAATTACTTATTATTTCACAAACTTAACATGATATTTACCCAATTAACTAACCTGTTTCAATAGTTAAAAAGTGTGGGCCAGTTAAATATGAAACTAGAAGTTGGTTTCTTCCATGTCTATCATTTAAATGAGGAAAACTTCGTGTAATACGATTCAAAAATACAATGAGCAGTTCTAACGCGATTAGACTAGGTCTATTTATCTCCATACTACTATCATTATTATTCGATTTGGTACCATTCATTTTGATTGAAATTGTACTTATTATGCAATTAAATAACAATCGAAGAAAGCCATCGAGGAGTGGTACGAAAAATGCAGTTAACTGATGAAGACTTGTTTTATGAATATATGAGAATAGTTGACTGAAATGTTAAGTATTGTAGAGAAAAAGACAATTCACTTTAACCATGAAAAATGAATGAGTGTAAGCAATTTAATTCTACATAGAAATTTAGTTATATTTAATAAGGGAGTAATACGTTAAATTTATGAGTAGTGTCTAATGCCATATTAGTCCTTTAAAGATCCTGAAATTCTGTTGATCAGGTCGGGATAAAGATCACTAGTTCGGGTGACTCAACATAGCGTGCTGTTTCTCAAGATGTTTGGTGGCTGAAGGTAGTTGGGAGGAGACCATGAATCTAGGCTTTGTGCTAGTAACTGAGATAGTGAGGGGACTGATGTTCCCACGTCACTTACCTTCGGAGTGTGAGATTTTATCACTGAGATATTCTGACAGAGATTAGTTTCCGATCACCTTAAATAATTTCGCCTTTGTACGTATGTGATTAATCATAAACATTTTCTTCAGTGAGCTAAATAACCCATGGGTGTTTACGAATATATGTTAAATCATAACCTATTTGTGTAGACGTTTTAACAATTTCTATTCAGAATTTGCTACCACGATTAGTTGGGATAGTTGAATATAAAGAAGACAGTAGTATTCATAAACTAAGAAACTTTAAATACATGAATGAACTGATTACTTTGACCTTTAAATAACATCTCCAAACCCTAATCTTCTCGATTACTGCTTATACTCTTACTACCTCTACCACTACGGCATTTGAATCAACAACTGCATCCCTGTGCTAATGTGGTATGGCAACTCGAACTGATGTACGTACGTACGAAGTTCTACGTTGTTACTGACTGACTGACTGATTAATTTGACATGCACAAAGAATTTTAACAGTAGAGAAGACAATGATTCTACGCCGTTTTATTATTGATGGCAGTATTTCTGACACCTACTGTTAATACTTATCCAAAGTCACAGAAATTCATTCGTTTTAAACTAAAGTACAAAACGATCTACAATAGAATCTAAGAAATATAAACACTTTTCTGTATTAAACTGTACATAAGTCATACTGATTGTTTATTAGGATCATTATTATTATTACATTGAAGTAGAATAAAGTATGTTTGAATAAATATGCTTAAAAAATGCGCTCCCGGGAGGCTCACGGTCAGCTAGGGGACTGACTCTATAATAACACTCAGATTAGCTGTGCGATCGGTGAAGCCACGAAAAAGAACAATCAGTGATCTTTGGAAAAATAACTACTTTTTACTTTAGACTAATACAAATAACAATAGTTACGATCAAGTATATCAAATTACTCTGAAGAAGTGGCTTATACTAAGTTGTGAAACATTGGAAATTTAATTTTCCAACCGTTGAGATATTACAAAAATATCATTACATTTTTTATTAATTAAAATCAAAGGTGAATAGGTTACCGAACAGCAGATCGATTAGCAAAACTTTCAATGGTAGAATTGATTCGATTTATATGACAAGCCGATAAAAGACATTCTAATGAAGCATCTTGCATGTAAACGCTAGAAACAACAGTTGTAGAAACACTGAATAGTTCACGATGAGCATCAACCCATTTGCAAGCATCCATACAAAACTAAGGGACAAATAAAACGGTGATCAAAAGAGTATGAAGTGTAAGTTTCAATTTCATTGAAAAGTGTAACCTAATATATATATATATATATATATATATATATATATATATATATATATATATATATATGCATTCCTATGAAATAGGTTAAAATAGTTAGAAAACAATGAACTTGCTGAATGCTTTTTGTACTTAATGATTAAAACAGGCTAGAATGTGTCCTGTACAAACTTATATTTCAGTTATTAAGTATTCAGTCACTTTTGGATTAAATTTCAGTAAATATAGGGTGTTAAAAACCTTTAATTCACACGATAGCTAAAAATAAATTTAGGTGAAGTAGAATTAAGATCCAGTGATTTCCAATGGTTAGAGATTAGGAGCTTGAGGTCTAGACCTGAGTTTCGTAGAAGTCCATAGTTGGTTCAAAATCTTTCACTAGTTTATACTTTTATTCAACTATGTTCACAACAATAGGTGTGACAACAAAGTGTTGTAATGGCAGCAGACCACGCAGCTTGTATATGTTTGCACTAGTTTATTTTAGTGAATAATTAGTAACTTTACCCATGCATCACTTTTATAAACACGTGACTGCCTGAGCGTATGTATAACACTATAATACCTAGGTATACAAAAATAAGATAATAATTTCTACATTGATTTGTCTATCAAGTCAAATACACATACTACATCACTGAGCATTACGTCAATCAGTTCGCTGCAGTATACGATTCTTACGTTTTACAAATACTATACTCTATGCATGTGAACTGCTGTGTCATTATGTATGAAATATATCCATTTCCTAAAATATTTCGTATTCCAGCTATTTGCATCACATCGTTATATGAATCTAGTTACACAATTGGATAAGTTTATAAATTATACGAAGTTAACTCGGGATGTAAAATCAATTGGACTAAGTAGAACTCGCAAAACAACATTTATACTTTTTAACGAGTTCTATGAAATCAATATAATTGGCAGTACATAAAAAAACACAAGGCTTAATGTATTTAGAAGAATGACGAAACAACTGAAAGCTTAGTTGACTGTTTTTCATTGTTTCAGAATCTTTTTCCTATTCTAAATGAATTATTTTTTTCAACATGTAGATGAGGAAAGTAAAGCATGGTTTTTACATCGATGATAAGAGTGCGTCACTTACTGGCTAACAAACTACCAGGGCTGATAAAACTCCAAAGATAATAAAATTAATCAATTACTCCAAGCGCAATACGATAAGACTATTCATTGATGTGGAAAAGTTTAAAATTAACATTTTGTGTTTTAGAGGAAGAAAAAACGAAGAAATGTAAACAGTTTACACTATATGTTTACTAAATCACAATATGGGAATTTTCCAAATTTACTAAAATGTTTATCCTTTCAATCTGATTTGAAAATGTCATATGTTGTTGACTAACAAAGCTTTGTATTAAAATTCAGTACATATAAGCACACTCGCCTAATTATAAATTAAACCGGCCAAGATGTTACGGAGATATATAGTTTTGTGAAACGGTTTTTGATATGGATCAATACATAGTACCTATTGGATTTTACCAAAATGTTACAAAAATGATATTCTATGAAATTCGGTGATTAAATAAAGTTTAATGTTACATTTATAACACTATGTAAATCTACTGATAAACTATCGCCATAGTATAAATATAAACGTCGACTACATCTACCAAAGCCGTATCGTATGAATAAGCCGTTCAAGACGTTTGCCAGTTGTTTCTTATAATGAAGTTGCAGTTCTTTACGTTTATAAGAGTTCTATAATTTGACTAAACACGAAGGTTATAAAAATTTGGATGAACATTGTTGAGGAGCTGAAACCAGGGAAATAACAAATGTTCAGTGCCTCTAGGTTTTTACTGGCCTTTCGATTATGGAAAAAACGTTTACAAATTGGTGATTGCCCTAATATCAAAATACATGGGTAGAGACTAGAATTTTCAGGCTTTAAATTACAAACTGATGCTAGACAGACGACCATTTTAAACCAGAATTTACTGCGAAGATGTTTTATCCTCTTACGGGACTCTTTATCAAAGCGCATCCACAACTCCACTACAGTGAACTAACCTGAGATATTTGATTTAAAACGCGAACGCTTAGGTTCTTGACCACTGAGACTGAAGGTTTTTGGTTTGAGGCTTTACGATAGGGTCGTGGATCTACTCTGATGAAGAGTTATGAACCAGGATGAAAAAGCTCTTAATGTTGATCAAGTTAAGATTAGTTCATGATTCAAACTACGATATCTTGTCATGTTAACACTACATAACTTATATTGCTGTTCAGATAAATAACAAGAGTATGACACACAGTCTATTGAAAATGCATTGATTGTTCCTGCAAGCAGAACAAAGTAAAAAATTAATATACATGATTACCTTTTCTGAGATCGATTTTATGTCCGGCTTAATCATTGCCAAAGCTGGGGATGGTTTTTCTACACTGACTAACAAATTCAGATCACGATCTTTTAAACATCCTTGTTCTAATAAAGGTAGCCACTAAATTAAAATAAAACAATAGAACACTGTTGGTTATACAGTCAAGTTTACCATGAATCTACAGCTAAACGGCCTTTCAGGTAACATAATACAGAAGAAATGGAACATATTAGTGAATTTGAGAATAAGTACGTTGACTGGTATTTCTTGAATAATCTACAAGTTATATGATTTTAGTTTTTACTACAAACCGGCATTAGTCGGAGGACCAATGTGAGGCAGAGATCACTAAACAACTGTTTTATTCCTAGTTTATAACTGCTAAATGTGTGTAACGACGATCTAATGATCATGTCTAGCGATGAGGCTATTACTATCAGATCAATAATTTGGGATTCAACAGTATACATTTTAGAAACATAGACGATTGAATTCTGGCATAACACATTATAGGTATGGTGTCCTCCTTAGCAAATGAAGTGCCGAGATTGAACTTTGGGTTTAGTTTTACGTGAGTGCTATGAAAAAGTCACGAACTAGAAACAAACGACCATCTGGTGCTAATTCACTTTTATTGTCTTTTGACGCATATCTAGTTAGTCGTGAACTTTCATATTGAATAGTTTTAAACAAATGAATATTACTTACAGAATAACCAATTACGGTTTCTAAAGACGCAGATGATTCAAGTTTTTTTGTTTGACAAATTACATGATAAAATGTAAATAACAGATAATGAGTTTCTTCCAATTTTCCAGGTAACTGAATTTTTATTTCATCGAAAAATTCTGGCGATCTAATAGTTTGGTAATAAAAACATAAATATAAAACAATTAGGTCTGTAACTAAAATGGACAAATCAAAACGGTAAAAACAAGCAGCGCTAGAAGGTCTGTAATTACGTAGCTATGTGGAGCTAGAAAATATGAAATTGAGCACTGAGATTTATTATTTTGTGATTTTGATGATTCAAACAAACAAGAAAGTCACTTAATATATGTAAGAATCTATTACGAAATGCATCAAATGATAACTGTTGTGCTAACCGATTTCCAATAATCACAAAACAATGTGAACGAGTTTTCGTAAAGTTGCAACTTATCTGTATCCTGACCAAGCATGTGGTAATTAAGTTAAAAAATGGTACACCCATAAGGTTTACTTTGACTTGATCGAAAAAACAGAGTTGCTTTTGTATGTTTAGCCTATTACTATAGATTTGGTGGGTTGGGATATTCGGTGTGTTTCCAAGTCAATGAAGTAGAAAAAGATTTGTTTAGATCACAATATAAACACTCTTGTCCTAATACTTTCGGACAGATTGACAAAATACTGCTTAATCAAATATAATAATGTGAAATCGATACAGGAGAACATTTTAGCTGTGTAGATATCCACTCGACAAAAAATGGTGGAAAAGATTTGTAGCTAAGGTGGATGATTTTAATGAATCTTAAACACTAGTAGGTGCAATATAATAGTGGTTAGCATTAAAATTTCACTACTCAGATTTAATGAAATTATGCTTAAGCAATCGATAAACTCTAATCACAATGAATGAACTGTTTCTAGATTTATACGCTTTCAGAATACGAATAATATTTATATCTAGTACCTGATTTAAAAAGCAAAGTTTAACACTGTTCCTAATAAGTTATGGGTGAGTTGAATTTTCATAATAATAATAATTATTATTATTAATAGTAAAGAGGTTAAGTTTGTATATAAAATCTATTCAAAGTGGGAATTTGAAATCCATGTCAAAATTGCCAGCTGAGAATATTTTATTGAATTGAATTTAGTATGATTTATTTTTGTATAGACCGATTTATTACTTTACATCAGAAAAAATTACATTGATTGATTATTTGATAGTAACTCATATCATAATTGCCCATGTCTTTAGTTCAAGTTGTAATGTGTTCGCTAGTCTAGGTGACTCGGAAGGCATTCTGATGTTACGTGGTTGTAAACAAGAAGAAAAAGCACATGAATGGTAACTAGCACAACACCTAAATACAGAGTATCCTCTCGAATCCCAACAATTTATTACTTGTAGAAGCATAAATTGGACATTGCTGGATAACAAATAGCAAAAAAAAATTATTAGCAGCTAAAAATGAAGGCCATTACAGCTTAAAAACGATGTGTTTACAAATCACTAGTTATCTCTACATATGTTTGTGCTCTGAGTAGAATTTTAGTTCGTTGAAAAATGAGCTCGTAAATCAGAAATGTAGATAAATGGATTTCACAAAAAAGCTAGTTATAATTATGCTGAATATTATTTCGGATCATAGTGTCTTGAAGGATTTTATAGATAAACTAAATTCTTGGAATAACAGATACCTATAACATTTCTCAGCATATGTATTCAACTGTACATAAAACTGATACTCTAGGCCAATCAAAAGAAGCAGACTCGAACAGCCGCGCAACATAACAGAAGCTTTACCTTTTTTATATTGAATTTAATTCATTCCGTCAAATATTATTTTCTCCCCGACAAAAGGCGTTATCATGGATTTTATTTAAAGCTTGATTTGACTTGGCATGCGACGAAACTGTAGTTGAATTTTTCTCAAGATTAAGTGTTTTGTGTTAAGACAGAGTAAATTATTAAATAAATGTTGGCGAGACTATAGTTTATGAGTGAACCAATCAGAGTTGGGATAATAAGTCTCGGATTTTGGGGCGAAATTCATTCATCCATTTGACCAAGTAGCGTCTTGGCATTTTAGCTGATGTCAGTTCGTGATGAAAACCCTAAGCCTAATTCCTAACGCTATCCATTAGCAGTAAATTCTAATTCCCCATACCGGTTTATAACACTCATTTAGCCTTAGTAAACAGATGGACATTCTTAAAGTCATTTTAGCGTCGCTCAAAGTTTGTCCACAAATTTTGATCTTACCCAAATGATCTCACTAATCAAAAGAATGTAAGTTAATTGTTTATTTATTTATTTTAACACATAGATACTGGTACAAGGAGGCACCAAATACATATGCGCCACACTAATCTCATTCGATATGTGTGAGGGCTGTGATACTGCCCAGGTGCCCAATCCGAAGTCGGTGGTTTTTTTAGGAAGCCACACCCCGGGCCTTCGATCTGAAGGTCTGATCCACAAGGCAGTGGAGTATCGTAAGGAGATGCAGTCTCATGGTAGCCGGTGACCAACGATTAGTTCATACACCATTTGTTCCTTCAGGATACTGGAGCCCACGTGCACAATTGGTTCAGAATCAGGGTTTTCCAAATCCCCCAGGTGGACTCTCTATGTCCACCGACCCGGTTAAAGTGCCGAACATTCGCTTTTCGTCCTCTCAATTTCGTGAACAATACCCCCGCCACGAGAAGTCAATAGGTAGGACTTCCCTGGAAGAACCTATATACGCGTGGCCATGTGAGAGCATTTCGAGGGGTCAGTTAATTGTTAGAAAATAACAAATAACAGGATATTTGTTCGCCATGATAACAATTAGATTATTCGTGAAGATGATCATAACGTATACACGTACAAATCACCGGTTAGTACATAAATGTTTTTTAGTATATAGATGTTTGATTAAATTGTAAGGTAGCCTGGTGAAAAGTTAGACAGGATTTTGAAACAAATTATGAGATAATCATTAACTATTTTTAGAAAAGTTAAGTGGTATAGATTGAAATTGATTACAGTGATATAGTCGTATTTATTTTACATCTTTATTAAAATGTTAAATTTAAATAAATTTTGTACTTTTTATTCAGTGCATTTCTTATGCTTAATCTCATACTGTCATTGATATATATCTGTGGTCACATCAGGGTTTACTTGGATGCCAGTGTTGAAAATTTCAAAGAAAGTAACATGCATCCACATTAGCAAGAATAGAAATCTTTATCCTGTGAGATTATTTCTTCTAAGCTTCTATTTTATGTGGCGAAAAGTAGAATATGATTTATTTACTTACCTATTATGATATAGAACTGTAGTAAACGCGTCGCTTATAAACCTAGGAGAATTGCTTTTGCCATATATAGCCTATGAGATAACAAAATAAATCAGACAAAAAAACTGGATAAATAAACAAAGTGTAGTAAAAAATAAACACCTATACATATATATGATAATTTTATAAGCCTGAGGATAGATATTATTTGTTCTGTGAACTGGACACCAATAAAAACCGATACAAGAATCTTTTCATTTTGCTTAGACCGACAGCTTAGGCAACAAAATCATATGTTATAATTGCTACGTCTAAGCGTTTAGCTTTTTGAAGAAGATCAAAGAGCTTTCAGTAAAACGTGTCTATTTGTTCATTCGAACTTTAGTCGATGAGAACATAAGCAGAGAGTTTACAATATCCAATCAAGAATGTAATGTAACTAATTAACAATGTACAAGTCGATATACATTGTAACATACCTTTTATTGAGATTTTTAGTGATATCACGCTGTTATTTAAATTGAAAGACAGAAGCAAAGCGAGATTGAAATAATCCATTTGGTTGTAAGAAAGAAAAGTAATGTATATAATAATCAAAAATTGAATAACACCAAACCATGAATAATAATAGAAAAATGAACATTATTTGATTAGCGAGGCAACATATTTGTGTAAATATCTGAAACTTAAGCTTCTAACATAATCATTTATTAGTAAAAGGAATCATTGGTTAAAATTTACCAAGGACTTTTTTATAAAACCTTAGTTATCTACTAAACTTGAGGTTTTGCTGAGACAGTATATAGTGTAGACAGAGATTTTAAATACCGATGAAAAGACGAAGTTCATTCTGATAGGCTAGTTTATTTGAAGACCTCAAGCATTATCAAAGGTTGAAATTTCGATTTCGATTCCATAATGTTCATCTTGAGTTTTACTGCTAGCTACTAAAAACAAAACTCAGTAAGGACTGATAGAAAAAAATACTTGACAATACTGTCGAATACCTTCCAAAAAATAAAAGTCTTGGATATATATTTTAAACGATTAATTGATGATTTTAGTAATAAGTATTAGATAATACGGTATACTGAGATATCTAGTTGGTTTTACAAGGTCAACGTTTTCTCTCAAAAGTAAGTGTGACACAGAATCTGTACACACTTTCTTGAATGTTTCATGCATTAATTAAACAATTTAGTACACTAACAATAATATATTTACGTGACTTGTTTGAGGAAAAAACTATTTTAAGAAGTATAAACTTTTCGATATTTACGTGAAATTTAGTTATATTAATGAAAGCAGTTATTGAAGTATTTGGTTACAAAGTACTAATAATGAATGAAATATTTTACTGCATACCAATTGTAATACGCCATAAATACAAGAGCTGTGTTATTGAGGATAAAAGTGAAGACTATAATTCTATTGTTAATCTCCTTACATAAGCGTAAAGTTAGTGATTATTAAAGTTTAATCTTTACTAAAAATATCGTTCATGAATACCAAGTTATATATATATATATATATACATATATATATATATATATATATATATATATATATATAAAGAAAGACCACGGTATTTATTCAACACAGTGAAAAAAATTCTGTCTAAAAATTATAACACCTCAATTTTATACTAATCTGAAATTCAGGGATACTCGTTGATTCACACAAAAGTATCTTTCAGTCGCATGCTTAGATTTGTTAAGCAGAAATTTCAGAGAAATTATTTTGAAAAATCACTTACCGGAAGTACTTTAGTTACAGTAGAATCACTATACATTAATTGTACACGAACAGTAATATTTCGAGAAGAAGCCTGTTTTGAAGGAGGAAGACTAACACTTCGTGGATATACATATAAAAGGTTACTATGAACAGAAAAGATAATAAAAGATAAACATACGTAATAATGAAAGTATATATATTTATAAATACAAATAAATCATTAGGAATCTAGTCACAACACAACAAATGTTAATTTTAACCAAGTCATTCACCTAAGATTTAAAATAAAATCAGATGTAGACTGATTGCAAATAAGTGGACTAATTAATAAACATAAGTTTATTAATGAAGCAATAATGTTTATCAAATATTATTACTAATATCCAGGTAGTAGTATGAACAAGTCAGATGAGTAGTCTGTAATTGTATGGTACATTGATGCAAAGTTCAATCTTCAGGAAATTACGAGTACTTAGAAGCTGGAAAGTTTAAACAAGAACTAATCAAAATGAACTCTAGTTTTTGGATATTTTGGCAGCGAACTACAGACACTAATCAACTTGATGAAATGTACTCTAAGAATCTGTTAACTAACTATAGGTTAAATTGCATTTGTTAGGTCATGTAATGGGTAACCCAATGACTCCAATAAGCACTAAACTAAAATTTACAATTTTTAAGTATAATACGTTTAGTTTGATAATTGTTAACATATAGTCACAGGATCGTTATACCGTACAAATTAAATTCCAGCCAGCTTCTTTGTTCTAAGTATTCAGGTTAAAATTACACTTTACTGTAATCAGAGAATTAAAATACAATTTACTTGCATATCTGCTTATCGAATTATTTTACGAAAACTTACGAGAAAAAACGCACGACAACACACCAAAACAAACCTAGGAACGTTAGGTCATTCAATGGGAATACAGCAAGTCATACTTCAGTCTCCCTAAATTTGTTATCAACACCAATTCTTGTCTAATTGGTTACTGACTTACTTCCGATTCCGCCAACTTCATAGACCACAGCTTTATATTGAAACTTTTAAAGGTCTATTTTGACGCTAGTCACTAATGAAAACACATTATCTACTTAAGTGTTACGCATAAAACTGTGTAGCTTTATGATAGTTTTCGACATGAAAAGAAAATAGCTGAAGAACCATGGGAAACCTGTAACAGCAAATAGTTGTTTTATTTTAGTCTAAGACTCCTCAGCAGTGTACACGCACAACTCTACACATGATAATACTTATATCCAATTAGTTTCGTGAGATGCATGATATGGTATAGACTAGGAGAAGACAACTGAACAATGCACTTAAAATTATTCAAAACGACATTTTACATAAAATAATCTAGGTGCACATATTCACATGATACATAATTATCATTTCACTCTTGGTCAACATTCGAGTATGATGGAGAACAATAAGGTAGGTATCATGTGCATCTCACTACATCATGGTAATTCAAACAATTTAGATTTCATAACTTTGCTTATGTTTACAGCTTTGATGAAGTTAATCAATTACATCAGTAAAGGTATATTATGTTAGATTCAACAATGTGACTTAACTAATGTACAAAAAACAATAGATACAAAGATTTCACAATTCATACTAGTAGGTTCCTGGTTATTTTTTAAACGATGTAGTTGTCGAAATAAGTAGTACAGTCAGTAAACTGAAAGGTTTAAAGTTACTCCAAATAAGTGAACTCATTGTTACTGAAATCTTATTACAAACGAGATATTAATTTAAGTTGTGTTCTGATTATTTTTTAAAGAGTTTAAGTACGACGAAATACTTTTAGCCGATGAAGACCATTCGTTTTCTTGTCGTTAATAAGTTGTTTTACTTTGACTAACACATAGTATTTAAAGTTACTTCAATATCTTATTTTTTTCATTATTTTTTTCCTCAGATAAATGGGACATCTATATATAGCTGATAACCTTTTGTACTAGTAAACCTCTTTAAACAATCAACGTTGAATAACTATTCTGTGAAATAAATATAACTATTATGTAACTACATGAAATGTAATTATTTTCATAAAAATATAGAACTTCTATAGAATTCAATCATAATCACAGGTAGCCATCAAAAGATTTTGTTTGTATCAAATAAACTGGGAATATTCTAAATCCTTTTATTACAAAAATTATGTCAAATATTCAATTATCTGTAATTTTCCTATAATCTAACTACAGAAGAATATCTAAACATGTCATTTCAGACTATTTTCACCAGATAATAAAATTGCAAATAAGTTTCTTCTAAGCGTTTTTTTATGCTCAACAATATAACTTATGTTGCTTTTCAAAAATATTTTTGACAGTCAGCGTTGCCCACATGACTTGATCAGTCAGTCTGACCAAGTTACATTACATATGAAAAAAATATCTCAATACAAACATAAGCCTCAAAAAGACTAACACTATTTAATCCAGGCCTAAAGACTGGAAGCTTTAGAACTCCCACACAAACATGCAGACTATTCAATGATATCAATATACCATTAAAATTCAGTTTCATACTTGATGCTATCTGACAATCTATTTTCTTTGAAGTTTAAACAAAGCATAGTTAGCCCCATATAGCGAACTCTCCAGCAAACATAACATTTTCAAATGACTATTATTTTTATGTTGATTAAACACAAAATTTGATGAAAAATTTACTTATCTATGTCTTAAAAAAATATCTGATGAATCATCTGTAAAACAGTGTATATTTTATGTTTTATATAGAGTCACAAAAACACTCAATTCTCACAAGCAACAGTCGTTTAAGAAGTTAGAATAAGCACGAAAGAGTACTTAGATTCAATAAAACAATATTAAAACTGACCAGAATGATCTACTCGCCTGTAGAACAAATATATGGTGTATGTAATTACACACAATTCTATCAAAAATTATCTAAATTTATATGTAAATACATATGTACACAGATATATGCAAACAAACACATACAAGAGTACACCAATGTATAAAAAATTTTTTGTCTATATGACAAATGTAGATCAAAATTATTTAGTCTAGAATTTTCTAATATAAACGAAGAAATAAAAATTTCTTAAAAGTTTATTAGACTTAAAAAGTTATTGTCCAAATATAAAAGTAATGAATAATGTAAAATATACAAAGATATAAACTGAATATTTTAATGGACATTTTCATAAATATCGTTTACAGAAAGTAGAAAAAAGAAGAATAATACAAAATTCACTTGGTATTATTTTACTTGAATCTTCCCATTGATGTTTTAGGACTGAAATTGATCAGTCTCTTATTGGCATATGTGAAGATTTAAGTAAAACAATACCAAGTGAATTAAACTTCACCCCATTGCACAAGCAACTGGCTATCAGGACTCAGTAGCTAAGTGGATAACGCGATGGCGTTTCAGGCGAACGGTATTGAGTTCGAGTCCCAGAGTAAACATCAACTCTGAGATGCAGGTACATCCAGCTGACGGGTCCAAAAACAGGACGAAACGCGCGTCCTGAATTCCACTGCTAGTCACTATCCATCTTTGCTTATAATAATATAAAAGATATATTGCAGTAGATAGATAATCGCTAGCTTCACAAAATTTGCAATTAAAGATTCAGTTAGAAAAATCAAAGCATTTAAAAGGATTTAAACAAAATTTACAAATGAACTTGATGTATTTATCAAAGCAGTTGTCAAAGAAACTAAAAAAGAACAGTTTATATTTTCATTAAATTATATGGACGAAACTTTAGATTAATATATGATTTAATAAATTATCAAAGCATTTGCATTAGGTTAACAGATATTCAGTGTTTAAACTCATATTAGTTATTGATATTTATTGTTCATACACACGATTTCTGGGTGTTTGTTATTTATTGTATTGAAGTTATCAAATGATATTTAAAATTGAAGTTAGAGTTGCATAAAACTGTAAGATAAAAAACTGTTCTATTATAAATAAAGTAGATGGATATAGAGGGTGTTGAAAGTCAAATTGACCACAATCCCTTGATTTATAAAATTGAATATGACTTTACCTTGAGTACTAGACAGCAGTGAAATAAATCTCTCCTATGGTTTTCAAATTAAACCAGTAAACAACCACGGTATATTTCTTTCTATCTAATTGTACCACATATTTTCGCAATATATGTAAAGTAAATATTTGGCTTAGAGTTACACTGTATTATGCAAGGGTTGGTGATAGTATTAAGATTTTCAGAAGGAATTGAGTCCAGTGCGGATTTGACATATGGTTAAATCCATCACTAATTATAAAATGTCATTAAAAGATTAATTAATGGAAATATTATGTGCTGGATGTTTATAACTCATTCTCCAACAATGAATAAATGGAAATGCTGACGGTAAAGTCAATTTGCAAATAAATGAAACAATTTCCTTGTGTTCTCGCAAACAACAAAACAAATTTATAATCTACTCACTCACATACTATGAGTATTTAACAGGCAAATATTTAAAAAAAAGTACACCTACCGATATGATGTAAATGGGACCATTAGATCTGGTGAAGGCAATTCAAGAACTTCACGAATCATATTTGGTTTATGTTCAAACACTGTAGAGTTATTGTCAACTTTATTAACAGAAAAATCACTAAATGCTTGAAAAATAGAACCAATGTACGGAAGACATTCGGGATTGAGCAAAATGCTAGACTGACTATTTAGTTCATCTTTTCTTTTTGAAATTGAATATCTTTCAATTTTTAGATTCGTTGACTTTAACAAATTGATAAGAGTTTGTGAAGTCGCCCAATGTAAACGTATATTTAATGATATATTAGAAATTGTTTTGAAACGTCTCACTGAACCGCTAGTAGGACTAAATGCAGATGAAAGATTTAATGAAAAGTTGGAAATATTTAAATTAGAATTCTCTGAATTATTACTGTTATTATTGGTAACAACGTGATTGTTCATTAAAACACCATTTGATCCAGGACCAGGTAAAATGACATGTCGATGATTAAATAGTGTTTGACGATGAATTTCATTAACATGACGAAATAACTCATCGTCATTTATTCGATCTTTTTCCTTGAAAAAGAAAAAAAAGTGGGGAAAATCATCCAAAAGCTCTACTTTGAGTTGATCATAAATCAAGTCATTTCATGTTTAAAATATTGATAAATTTCATATGCATAATATAGTCTATAATTCTTAGGGTAAACTATAAAGAGCATATTAATTTACTGGATAAAAATAAGGTTGAAGACAATCTACATTAATTCATCAGTGTAAAGTAAGTCATATTGGCCTGTTTTCTTAGTATGAATCAAATAGTATCCATCAAATTTCAGTGAAAAAACTAGCCAAAGTGATTGAATTATCATCACGTGCACTATAGTTTGCCAATACAATCTGATTAACAAAATTTAATCAGCACTGACAGTTAGGCATATGTCACATTCGTTACCACTCTGTGATCAATGATTGTGAGAAAAAATAAATGGTCCTTGAGACTAACTGCTATAATCGAATTACTTTAGATATACTTATAAAATAGAGCAAAAGATATACCAAATACAAACAACAGAATTGTGCTAAATCAACACTAAAAAAAATCAGTCTGGATTTTAACAAACTAATATATATGAGGTAATGAAATGTTTTTATAAGATCTTAAGTTAGTATAAAGCATTAATATATACACGGTTGTACACAGAAATTCTATTCAAAAATGCGCTTTTGTTAGTACTTAGAATAAAAAAATCATGTCGAAAAAATTGACGCATTATTTACTAAAAACGTTGAAAACAAACACATGTTAGAATCAATAGGGCTAGCCAGTAAACATAGACAGAAAATGTACAGAATAACCTTAATATATACACATGATCTAAAAAACTAGGAGTCCATTACTAAGTACCGAAGTATTCTTTCAATTATGAGTCATAGTTTGTTCATATTTAAGAGCTATCAATACTAACTAATAAGTTGCACAAATCAAAGTTGATAGAGCGAACTTCCAATTAGCAATTGAATAGTTCCAAGTCAAGTGATATTAATCACTGAAGTACAAAAAGTTGTAACACACTATCCGCAAATTTTGAAAACGAGTACTATGATGATAACAGCCTAAACTCACATTCCCCTTGTATTTATCGATACCATGGCAAATAAAAAAGACAAATGTGCATTGAAGCGATTTCCATCCTTAAACAAACAAGTGCTTACAAACAGATCATTGCATTAATCAAACTATAGTTATTTTACACGACAAGAGTCATAAATGTGTATACAGCGAATATTTATTGAGATTTAATGAAAACAATCACGATTATCGAATAGAGTATATGTGATACGTTTCACTGAATAACTCGAAACAACTTAAGCTTGTGTAAAGAGTAAATATAATAAAAACACTACCATTACACAAAATCATAAACACATCATTCGCTTAGAATGCCAGATAAATTAAATCAACAGTGCAAAAATCTATAATCTTAATAAATATAAATAGATAAAACTGAAAAAGAAGTAGTTATCTGTACACTTGTCCGCACAATAAAAGTAATATAAATATTACAATTGCAAAGTACCAGTTATGAGACAAACGAAACAAATGGGTTGGGCAGTCATTTAAAAGAATGGAATGTAAGTTCCTTGAGTTTATTCAAATGACGAGAGCTAAATTTGTTAAACTCACAGGAGCTCAACAATCTTTATGACAGTAAGTGAACTGGAGATAAAGATAAAAATAAAACCTATATTATTCAAGAATCAAATACATTTAATTATACAGATGATTGTAAAAATAGTTGATCTAAAAATTAACCCTGAATATTAAAATCCAAATTTTGTAAAAACTAACATAATCAATAAAAAACCTGAAAAAAATTTCAAAATAATACTAATCAGTTTTTAATTTAAATGTGCATAACAACTTACTTGTCTAAAAAAATTACTAATTTTTAGTTCTATAGGTGAAAAGTATATTGAATCTGATTGTTCGACGCTTTTTGAACAATTAGAAATACTTTGGTGAAAGCGTTTTTCATGATGACTAGTTACCATTCCTTTTATCCAGTCATATTTTGCTTTTTTTACGAAACCCTCTGGACTATTCGATACACCAAATATTGATGATGATAATGAATCATGAGGATTAACACTATTATCCTCTGAATGATTATGTAAAGCAGGATCTACTGACCGACTACGTGTACTACCGCCACCATTTAAATTTCGTTTATTAAACTCAGAATATTGTTTATTGAGATTAATGGCTTAGTGAAAAATGGAAAGAGGAAAACAAACAAATGAAGAAATAAAGACATCATGCAAGTATAAAAATGTGATATTTACATACGTGGTATAATCAATTCTAAAAACAAATTACATTACATTACACAAACCCCTTCTGATAACATGAATCAACAACAAAAATCAGATTGATGTGTTGAAGGGATATTAGAAAGCAGAACATAACACGCAATTGTGATGAATTATTACTAGGCATGAATTACAAATCATAGTCACTCAAACCAAACAAAAAAAGTAACGCTAAAACTGTCGAATGCTTTAAGTTGACTGATCATTCATAAATCTATTTTTTTAATAATGCTATTCAAATCGTGTAATCGTAAGTGTAAAAATTATTATCTCATCGGCCAACGGGCATAAATGTTGATAACTAAATTAAACAGTAAACAGCTTATAAAAAAATAAATTCAAAGTGTAATTTACAGAGATATGATCTTAGAGAAGGAATCAGTTTATTAGAGACAACGAATGATTTCGAATAATCGTAATATCTACAAATATATAGTTTTATGTCGACCACTTCCAGTAACTCCAATGATTGATGAATAACAGCATGTACGTAAATCAATTCTTTTAAATTTAACCAGTTTACTTAAGTAATCACTAAAGAAATTACTGGACCTTTATAAAACTTAAGAACATCATTTTTCTAGACTGCACAAAATACGTCTATATACTTACATTCCGTTGTTTTTGCACAATGAGTATCATCAGTTTGTGATTGAATAAATTTATTACGAGGATCAATCATATATGGTGTTAAATCAACAGCAGTCCAAACTAAGGGCATACGATAACGTCCTAAGCGTTGACAACACCAGTTTATTGTGGTTTTCAGTTTATCTTTATTCTGTAAAAGAAAACACAATACACGAACACATTAAATTTGACAATTTATTTAGTTTGTTAAAATAGATGGATAAGTTATTAAAAATATTTACTACCTAATGTAAATTAATCAAACAATTGAAGTCAATCTAAAAAAATATTTGGATTTGAATTTCTAGACTAATATGTTGGAAATAATTACTTACCTGGTTTGGAAGAAGTCACACTGCTTTTACAATGCTTTTTTTCCATAATTGATGTTAGTAACAAATATAACAAATAAGTGATGAACCACTTGATAGTTGTTGTCTATGAGTATGTAATTTCTAACGACCTTCAGGTGTCGTGATGGGCACAATACTTTTTGCATATTAAATTCCATTTAATTTGTAAACAAGTGATCCTTATTAAGTGTTATCAGGTTAACTTGAAACGTTTATCTAATTTTCCACATTTTTAAAAGTACAAACACTTAAAATTATTTCGGAATAACATTTCAATGTGGTGGAATTATTGACCTTGAATGACGCTGAAAAATGAATTGGATGGTTTATGCTCTTTGCTACTCAGTTGGTGCACGCAAATGAAACTAAGAATCTGCTGCTTAAACATTTTGGAACGTATATGTATATGCTGTGTTTGGATAGCTGAAGAGTTTTTTAAGGTCGTCAATGGTTGTTTTCCATATTAAACCAGACTACTTTTCAAGTACGAAAACTCATTTATTTAAGAGGGAATCAGAATATGCATAAGTCTCTGTAAAGATCTTAAATATTTTTGCGAAACGTTTTCTTAGCTTTTCTGAAAACTCAATGGAGAGTAGACGAAACGACGTCGTGAGTCAACCACGAAAATGAAACCCCAATCTTTTTAAGATAATCCACACCATACCTGAACAACTACTTTACAATGCATCGGTAACGTACATAATTAACTACTTGAAGCATATCTAAAACGGGAAAATATACAAGAATAAAAACATTTGGAAAAAAGGTGGTTTAGAAGTTTAGTCAGGCTACTTGTATTACCGTCGAGCACAGTTCCGTGTAATCGACTACGAAAGTGATATAAACCACCTCAATACATTGAAATAAGTGAAGCATATTCGAAACCTCTAGTCTATCGGTCGAAAGGTGAGTGCTGTAACCAATAAATAGCTCCTTAATTGTGCAAAGATTAAGTTCCCATTGACATAGTTGATATGAACTTCGCATAACCTTGGATACTTATACTTTGCAGAAGAAATGACGAAAACTACACACAAATATATGATAATTTTATATGCTTTACATTCTAATATACTAGAGAAAAATGAAATACATTGTCGAATAACATGACCAAATTGAGGGTAAAATGAAAAAAATTAATTAGGCCTGTCGTATTGTAAAACCATACATTATCAATTAAAACCAGGAGATCATTTCTCAATTATAAAAGATGACTAATTTGATACTATGTTTGCTGTTTAGTCACTGATGTAAAAAATACTACAAACTCTTGTATGTACATTGCATTAAGAAATAGTTTAACCTTTTACATTCTGAATGAACAAAAAGAAATTATTTGAACTTCTTTCTTCCCTATCCTTAGTGCCATTTGTGTGTAGAAGAATTAAAGTTTTATGAATAAACATTCAGCTTGCTTATTATTTATTTGTGCAGTCAATGTAAGTAAATAAATACGTCTCCAATTCATTAAATACAAAAACAAGTGCATTGCATTAAACGCTGTTACATACTAACTGTATTTTATTGTAAATAAATGTTTTATTCTGGTGATAAATTGCATGTGAATTATTTATGAATGGTTCAATACAATGTAACATCAAATATTTGAAGCTAAAATAGAACAAAATTTACTCAAGAAAATATATAACATAATCATATGTAGACTGGATCAATTCGAAGGCACTTTAATACTATAAAATGAAGTAAAATAAGTCAAAACTTTATAAATAATATAAAAACTGGAAGGATATTTGTCAGTTGATGAAAAATATTTGTAGGTATTTCGTTCACAAACCCAGATGGGTTAATCTGGAACTTTTCATTATCTTTCTAAACAACATCATCAATAAATACTCTAAAAAGAATTGAGCTGTTAGAATTTTCGCCCAATTGACAAATATTTTGGTCTGTTGAGGCACATTACAACTCTTTTGTTGAAGTTAGGGAGATGATGCTTAGCTTGAAAAGCTATCATATAGGGATCAGGACAGAAGCCAATGCCGATTCTGTTGAAATTTCCTTTTACATTCTGAATAAAATGGTGAAAGAAATCCCTTCAGCTGATAGGATTCTTTCTGATTGTATTTCTAATTGAACTACTTTGCTCATTATAAACTGTCCTCATTTCTTTACTTTAGACCATACTTCCACATTTTCAGTTTATTTGTGCAATGCAAATTTATTTTGATGACTGATTGTGCATGAAATGTATTAAATATAGTAACATGTTCCGTTCACTTAAAATTTGACTGATTGTTTGTATGCAAACAACTGCTGCACTATTACATTGCTATCGTTGTTTAGAAAGAAAATAAAACCTTCATGATTAAATCCTCCAACTCAGAGAACACAACACATACGAAAGATACTTCTCATTTTGATTTTTAGACTCCTTAGTATAATTTGGTAGTACATGGTACAAAGTTACAGGAACCGAAGTAACTACCCTAGAAACGGCTCAAGGTTCATATTATACAGGATTATTTTACTATACTACGTGTCCCGTAACAGTTTAGTACTAAATTTTCGATGGATCTGTTAAGCATTAAAATTATCTGCAAACATTAGCAAACGGAACATTTGAAAATGATAATCCTTTCTAGAGAAAAAAGTGAAATGCTAAAGAAAAGTGTATGACTCACTTTTTCATCCTTATTATAACCTTCAATGATATCATTTACATCACCTTGTTGTAATACCTTCTCTACCTGTCAAAATAAGGAAAAAATTAATTGTTCGGTGGAAATACATGACTAGTGATTATATGATTCAATGAGTCGCATTGTTTAATCACAGTAACGTAAATTAGTGAAACTGCAAATAATTGAAGAGAATTAGTGACATTTTACGAATGAATACCTGTTAAAATCATTTCAAGACAAACATTTTTAAGGTTTTATTATAAATTAAACCCTAATACAAGTTTCTCTCTATGTACTGTTTTGCTAAGGATAAGGTAAAAAAAAGTAATCTTCTTAGAACCTTTGCATAAATATCAAGATGTGGATTTGTAACTTGATCCATGAGATAAGTTGGGTTTTGATATATATATTGCGCTTGCTTAGTTAGATCAAAACACATTATTCATGAAATTGATCAGTTTAGATGGCCTGTAAGATGCAAAGAGGAACGGGTTATAACGTGGAAAGCTATTCAACTCAGTATAAGCATTAGGAAAGGTTCTTAAAACTAAAGCCTATGATAAGTAACTGCAACGATGAAAACAGGAAAGTAACCAAATAAACAAACCAATCATTGATCACTTAACTTTATGGTGAGTAAATGTTAACCAATAAATAAAAACAAGACATCAGCATAGTTCAAATTTTGATATTAGATGAGGCAAAATGTAATGACTAACAAATTACATTGGTATTAGATATTTTTTCGTACTCATCAGTTTTATATTCTGTTTGAACCTCAAGTTAAGTGTGATTTTCGCGTGAATGTTTATCTTCCGGATATTCAAGATAATGAAATAATATACTTTCTGGTTTGATTTGAATAAACTAAAAAATAAACTGCGTTAAAAGTAGAGAAAAGCTTAAACACTTGTAATTGTTACACTTCGTAAACAATTAGACAGAGCTGGAACTATTACTGACTTCACAAATCTCTAACTATAAAACTTCTAAGAAATTATATTAAAAATATACCACACTATTCACTGAATTCGATACATGACTGAATGTTATAAATTGCAAGAGGAATAGATTATTTTTAAATACTTTTTCATATATATATATATCTTTGTTGATCTCATAATTGTTAATATTAGTTTATTTTATTCAAATGCACTGAAAAATTGATTTAGAAGTCCAAAATCGCAATCGAACCTGAAAGTGCTGAGTGTGACATAGTAGTTATAGTCATTAGGGACTGAACTCTGATGATACTGCTCTAGCGACGAAACAAAATGATATACTAAAACAATAACTTATGTAGTACATAATATATAAATTGAAATATTAACAACCAAACCATTTATAAAATGATTATTCCTTCTAGCTCACTCGAATAATTAAAAACAATCCGCCTTTACAACAAGATGTTTTACAGGAGTTATAAGTAAGCTTCTCAGTCCATTCTGAAGCAAATAGTAGGACGTCTTCTAAACCAAAATCATCGTCATTATTTGATTCACAGTCATTTGTAGGAACATTCGAGTGTACTCCAATTTTTTCCGCAGAGCCCCCAGAGGGTGTTTTTAAATAAGGCTTCGTAATATTACTTCTTAGATCTGTTGAGTTGGACAGATTGTATCGACTACTTATTCGAAACAAACAGGTCTGTGCTAATGAGGTCACATCACGATAAGCTAGTTGCTGGTTTGTCATACTACCACTAAACAAGTTCATCATTCTCGTTGAATTGGTATCAAAATGGAATGTTTCCGAAACTTTAAGGCGCGAATGAACATCGTAAATAAATGCTGAACCAAAAATAGGTTCTAGGTTACCGTCATCTAATTGCAGCTCGAGAAACTCCGTCAATAGATATAAAGTTGTATTTGGTTGACTTTTGATCGGATTGAGTAGCTCAGATGGCCATTTGCATCCAGGACTTAACTGACGAATTTCGATAGTATCCTTCTAGATCAGGTTGACAAAATATATAATCAAGCAAAATATTACATACATAACGAAAGTAACAAACAACAAGTAAAGTTACAGCTTCCTAAATTGTTGTCCCCAATGAATTTTAACACATTTTGTGGGACTACTTACATTCAGTAACAAGTTCATCATACTGTTAAGTATTCATGATGGTTTTTATAATATGGTATCGTCAGCCTAATTAGTTGGATAAACAGGATAGTAAAATCAGAAGCCTATGAACAACAGAGAGTGAGTTGTGTAAAGATTGTCAGGTGGAGATAAATAATGAGTACAGAGAAAATATTTTGTTAAAAAAAATCAAAGTTTAATACTGACCATGAAACCGTTGTTAACACTGAACAGTGGAAAGGGACTTTAAATATACACGTAACTGGAAGTAGACTCATTTGTATTAGCAGAAAAAACTTAATATGGTAAGAAAACCAGTAACATCTTAACTAAAATTAACGAATCGAATTTCATTACAAATATAAAAAACGAAGACATGATATAGGACACATAAAAGGCACAACATCAACTTGCTTCTAAAAGAAAATAAAATGGAAGCATCCTTACCCACTCCAAAGGTTCGCGTATACCCAGCAGTGACTTAGTCAGTGTTAATAAAGGACCGCCTGAATACCCGAAAACATTATAATTATTTATTTGGGCGGTGTCATTTTTCGAAGCTTCATTTGTCAAGTTGTTCGGTCGTTTCTAAAGGTTTATTAGTCACAGGATTATAAGTCACCTCATGTGCTAGACTTCTACTTTCAACCAAGTCCAGATTCGAGAGGGGTAAACAAGAGTATTTCTTATGAAACCTTTGCTCGTCATGACTACAAATATTTAAGCCGATAAGGGAACCTACATTTGAAAGCACTGTATAAGTGAGTAGTAAGACGAAATGCATTGTTGAACAGTGGGCGAAGCAGAATCCCTATTGTTTTAAAAGTTGATGTTATGAATCACGCTTACAAATTATCAGGAACAGGTGACGGGCTGAAAGTTTTGCTGCGTTTCAGATTGACACATTTTATCGTATGATTTATTGTTTTACAATTATATGACATGATCCGAGCAGAATTTATGAAGTCAGCGCTATTGCAAATACCCCAAGAAAAGCACTATGTTCGTGATAGTCAGGCAAGGTTTAAACGTTAGGTCCTTTTGAAATGTGCCCGCCCTTTCGTTTCAACGACCTTGAACGGCTTGACTAGAGGCGGTCATTCCGTATTTCAATTGCCGTGGGTTGGTTGGATTGCATGAGTACCAAGTTTTTTCATATATAAGTCATGTTATGCTACATAAAAAAGCACGAAATAAATACCAAAACCATTAATTTAGCGTTCTCTGTTTTGTAGTGTACACGTTGGCTCTGTTGTTGCTTTGTAATTTGATCTTTGATCCCAACAACTGTAGTAAAGCTCAACGAAATGTCAAGTCACAGGTAAATCCTAAGTATTTGTAGTATTTTCTTGGGTTATTATTGTCGCAAGGAATAACCTTTTAATAATTAGTCATTTCTGTTTTTAGTGCTTCATGCTCAAGTGACATTTCAGTCGACCTAACCGATGCCTTTCGAAGTATGATACTGAACAAGCGTTTCGTCTTGTGGGATGATTTTGAAAGCGCCTTAAAAGAGTTCCAAAAAGTATGGAATTATAATTTTATCGCTTCTCAGACTACTTATACTCGTTACATCCACACAGAGAGCAGATTGCTGAAGGATGTCAGGTTCAAATACCTGTTTGTATCGTTTAATTGTACGTTTGGTCATAAGAGGAAATCGGAAGGTTTGAAAGTGAGGCAAAAATCGTAAGATCTGTAACTAATACCTTATGTTTAAGGTCTAAATTCCGTAATTGTCGATCTAAATTTCGTATAAGACTAGAGGAGCAAGGATATGTCATCAAATCCTACAACATGCTCCACAATCATCCATGTAGTAGTTCATGGATGGTATGTGATCCATTGACAAGGAGATTATCGTCAGGAGAAAAAGAGAACTTGAAGCCCGTAATACTTCACTGTGAGTCAGCAGATGAAGTTATCGAAAGCATTAAGGAGAGAACTGGTAAGCAAGTAACTGCTGCCGATGTCAAAGGTATGAAAGCTACACTCTAGGCAATACGGAACACAGTTAACGTGAACATGTAAACCGTTTTTTAACAAATTCTGTAAGTTGTAGACCGGCGTAAACATCACAAACCTTTGACGACTTTATTGGATTCATACAATTCTGAAAAACAAACAAATCAGTTGTGAAATAAAGAATTAGACCCAGTTATAAGTATCACATTCAATAAGTACATCAAATAGCAGGTTACAGAATGTACCTATAAGTCTCTTATTTGCAGACAGCGCTAATCATTAGAGATTTCTATTTCCTTTAATAATAATTAATAGGTAATATTTACAACACACAAATCAATGTTATTTAAAAATTGGCATAAACGAGATATGAATACAAGGAACTTGTGATTCTGCTTCCATTGCTCATTCACTTTTCGTCCCGTTGTCTGCATGAATTACTTCGGACGAGTCAGTCTGTAATACAGTAGGAATTCATGAATTAACTCATGAATAGTTGTTTTTTATTCAAGTCTGTGTCGTAACAAGCACTGGAAATTTATTCAGTGTCTAACCCTTGTATTATTTCGTACATACATCTGGTATTAGCAAGAAACATTGGTAAGTACCATTTAGATATTACTCGACAATATGCATCATAAGTTTGTTCACATTTTCGTCTGAGACTGTGCATTTCGTTTACAGAAAATTATTCGTCAACCCTATAACAGACACATGATGAATCAATATTAAGTACGACATGGTTTTGTCACCATGCTCAGAAGAGACAGCCATCGTTTCACTTATGAAGATTTTGTGCCTATTTAATGTGGTGTTATACACTGTTCCTGAATACCTTCAGAAAGCCGGTAAAAAAGACTATCAACATCAATTCTTACTCACATAATTTTTCTCTGATACGTTACACAATAATATGTCACTTCAATACCAAACAATGCTACCTTTAGTGCAAATAACCTTTTATGGCTAAATACAAACAATTTATATAATATCCATAGTTAGTTTAATGCTTACTTCTTTCTGATAACATCTTATAAACGACTGCGAACATCTATGTTTGCTGTCACCATAATCAAGGAGGTGAACCATATATAATGCTTTTCACGGCTTATTTTCATGAAAAGTCAATCTGTTTTCTATTTTTCACTAAAAAAATGGTTATTTGACTTGTTTGACCTTGTATTATTAAAAAATAACCATATTACGCCAACTGCATGTTTACTTAGGTGGTGAGCACAAAATACCTCAAACTGCTTATAAATTGAAATAAATACTATCTTCCAATCACAAAGATTACGAGAAGTCACGTATGATGGAAAAAAGGCTGTTAATAGCTGATAAATAACGAAACATAAAATCCACGACAATATGTTACATGTGCGCGAAAACCCGTAAACTAACACGCATAGTGTGCCTGATAGTCATCCTCATGAAAATTCAACCAACGAGCTAAAAATTTGTAATCTACAACTGATAAACCTAAACAACGAAGAGACATGTCCAATAGGTTATCGCTGGATTTACCTACTCGTCTACTTGCAAATCCGTAAACGTGCTTATATTTCGAATTGAGTCTTTGGAACGTGACTAATATTTGAAAAAAGACACTGTTTATGTATGTTCTTAAGAAACATATTTTTGAAGTTTTGGAAAAGGAATCACTGTTTGGTAAAAAATCGGACTCAAAGACGAATCGACCAGAAAATATAATGTGTTTGGATGCCACTCAATATGTATTATACTGATCCTGAATAGTGCAAAATATTCATATTTCCGGACAACAAAATTTAGACTATCTCCATAAAGTTTTACCGTTGAAGTTTCGATCAAGGTAACCAAACCTAAACGCAGGCAGCATTTGTAGAATTCAGTTTGAACGATCGGAAGCGTAACTTTGTGCCGATATGAAAAAATTCAAACCATTCAATTTTATAAACTTTGCGTTTTACGTTCATTGCACGTGAAAATTAAAAGTATGAGTACGTCTTAAAGATGCCAGAAGTTTTAGGAGTTTGACAACACGTTCACCAGTAGCACCTTTTATAATTCAAACGTGCCATGAGGGAATGGTTTCACGGTTTACCAATCAGTGTACTAGATCACGTTGGGCTCATCATCTTTGTGGTCTTATATCTGGCTTCAGTTAGATCGTATTTTGATTTTTATTGAAATATACATGTCGCAAATCCTCGAATGCAATCCCTGACTTCAGACGTGTTGGTGAATGAAGGAATTGAATAGGTCAAATACGAGACTGAGTTTTGAATATGTGTATTTCATACAATCGTCGGTCTGAACAGACAATCAGGGAGACGGAGCAAATGAATCTAAGAGGAGTAAGAGAAGCGAAACTAAATGAACCGCAATGGAGAATGCGAATGTGACAACTCGATTTAACCAAGTGTGAATCGATATTTAGAGTCAAACAAAAAACGCTGCAAACATATGATGAGTTACATAAGAAGAACACATACATATAGAAAAACTGTCAAGGTTGACAGGCGAATAAATTGAAAGGTCAAAAAATGAATCAAGCAGGATGAAAAAATTGTCTGATCCAAAAGCTGGAATAAGCTGAAGCGGTAAATAAATCCCCAAAATAAATAGCTCTGTAGGTTTACAACATTGGATGCTGACCACATGTTTTAATGAACTTACCTAGCTGAAGACGCTCGGTCATGCATCCGCACCAGATCACGTGTGAGAACGCCGTACTCAGAAAACCCTGCAATCGCTAGCCAGATTAGATCAGATGATCCTCGATATATTAATAGCTTACCAAATATATCTTCTAACCTCCTCGCTTCTGTTTTTTGATTTCATTTGGTGGGCATGCTTCATATTAGGTGTTACTGGTTAAAGCATTTTCAAACACCGAATGTCTGTGACATCTTGATTGCTGATCTGGTACACCAAATCGCAAACTGTAAGTCTGTTCCTTTTTGGGATGCTATATAGCATTGCCTTAATTTTTTATACATTGTGATATTTTTTGTGATTTTTGGATATATAAATATTTTCTCACGTTCATTATCGTACTTCATATTGCATCATGACTGAACAGACATCCAAAGTACTTAAGCCTAAGACTTTGTACCCGTTTTCGCTTCTACTGATGCCCTTCTGACCAGACAGCATAGAAGCCCTGTTTTGCTACGCAGAAGACGACTTCTTCTAGCACAGCGTGATCGACACACGTGCACAAATCCTCGCAGTAGTCAAGGGACTACGGCGCAAATTCAAGAGATACATCACGCCTAAAAATTTTTACTAGTGATGTTTCTGGACTTTTTGAAACGCTGAAACGTTCTATTCTGAAACGCGGAGACCTAACTGGTAGACAAATTTTAGAGCAACTCTTTAATAACATCGATCGGCAACATGGTTCTGCGACGGACATGTTGCAAAGGATGAGAGAGGTTTTAGGCCTAAGAACTTTCGACGAAGGCCTATTCAAACAACTTTTCTTGTCTAAACTTCCCCAACAGGTGCAAGCGGTTCTGGATTCGTTTCAGAACAACGCCTTAGATGAACCGGCTGCATCTGCCGACCGCATTTTGGAAATTACGAAACCTACTACCGAGGTATTTTCAGTCAAAGAAAAGCCTCAAACGTCTCAGAACGACATAACAGAGTTATGTCATACACTTACGCGTTAACTTAATTTTCGTAACGACCGCAAGAGTTCACACACCTCACGTAGAAGCACTTCGCGTAAGCGATCTGTCTCTAGACCATGAGAGACAGATAACCCCGACTGGTGCTGATATCATAACCAGTATGAAAAGTCTTCCAGAAAGTGCAGAAAACCCTGCAATTTTCCCAACTCAAAACCGACTGACTCGAAAAACAACTCGGGGAACTTTCAAGCCGGTACGCGTTAACGGCAACCGTAGCCGGCGAACATAGCTGTCCGTTGTACGTCACAGATGTGACAACGAGAGTTCGCTACCTCGTCGACACTGGCACAGAAGTTAGCGTTCTCCCAGCAAATCCCAACGAACGGCTTAACGAATCGGCTCTAAACTTACAGGCGGCGAACGGAAAACCTATCGCTACGTATGGCAAATGGTATGTTTACCTGAACGTGGGTTTACGCAAACCCATTCACTGGATCTTCGTTGTTGCAGATGTTTCTATGCCAATCATTGGTATGGACCTTCTACAACACCATAATCTAATCATCGATACTCGCAAACGGAGGCTAGTAGAGCGAAACACTAATTTGTCCGTTTGCGTAACTTCCTTTACTGGTTAAAGAGTATCCCCAGTCACAGTTAAACATATGATAGACCCACTCTATCAACCACTACTCGATAAGTACCCTGAGATACAACAAACTCAACCGAAACTACCGTGTGTAACCAGCAATGTTACACATCACATCACGACTACAGGACCACCTGTATTCTCTAGAGCACTTCGACTAACCCCT